TGACAAGAGATTTGTTCCGCCCCATGGTGGTGAGACGAGAATCCGGGGCCTCCCAGGCTGAATGGACGCCTCAGTCTTCTGAGCCGACCCGGTCGCATCGCGGTTCGCTCAACTCAATCTATCGTGAGACTCCCGGAGAGTCCAGCTCAGCCCCTGCGTCAGCAAACATGCCAGGTTCGCCCATTGGAGGTCCTGCAAACCCCAATTATTCCTCTAACTATATGCCGTCACTTTCTCCGATATTGAGTCTCAGTGTCAGCGACAACTACGACGGCGATTCCCGTGGACGCCCAGCAAGCAGGTGGTGGGAAGCAGATTCTTCAGGAGCGGGCGGCAAATTGATCGAAAGGTCTAAGAGGGAGTCCAAGTATATGGGCGTGCCCAAGGAAGCTCGAGAAGCACTTCAGTGGGAGGACAGTCCGCAAAGACCTGATGCGTTCGCAGGGCCCAGTAATTTAGGATCGTCGAACGACAGTTACCCTCCTGAGAAGACGGGATGGCACGAGCCGGAGACCGTAGTTACACCCCAGCAAGTGCGATACTCTACAAACTCCCTCGGATCATCAGCTTCGCCCACAACACCGAACCCGGCCCACTTGGATGTCTCGCGTCTTGTCACTCTGCCACCGCCGTATCCCCGCCATCACCCGGCTGTGAACAACAACCATCCCGAGCTAGCCGAGACGAGGATGGCCGTCCGCCAGATTAGCGACCTCTCTGAGATTGAAGCCACCAGGGAAAGGTTCCAAGCGACTAGTACCAAGAAGCGCGAGGAGGCCGCAAAAGCCTCTGCCGAGCGCCGACATTCTCTGCGGACTAACCTCCAGCAGGAAGTCAACGTCGGAAACATGTCCTTCGCCGAAGCATCAGCTATCGAGCAAGACTCGGTGGCCGCCGAGAAAGAGAAACTGAAAGAACTTGGAAAGACGGAATTTGAGCAGTTCCAAAGTCAGGTTGTAATGCCGCTCAACGACCTTGTCACCGGTCGCATCGCGAAGGCCACAGCATTGTTCGACAAACTGGCGAGTGGTCTCTTTGACGACATGGCAAGTGCGGCAGACATGCCACAGGAAGAAGGCGACGACAAGCCTGAGCTACTCGAAAAACTGACGCTGCTCAAGTGGATATTTGAGGCTAGGGAAATGCTGCACCGGGCCATCTACGACATCCTCACAGACCGGAATAACCGGTACCGTGACGTTGTGCTGACGCCATATCGGCTCGCCGGCAACGAGGAGAAGCTCCGCAATGCTGAGGGATTCTTCGCCGAGGACGCCGCGAAGCGGCAGCTGACTTTTGCGCATGAGGTGTTTGCGCGCACACAGGAGTTCCAGACCGTCATGGAGCAGAATGTGATGCGTGGTGTAGAGGTGCAGCTCTCAGCGTTCTGGGACATCGCGCCGCCCCTGTGCCGGCTGCTGGAAAATATCCCGCCTTACCTGGAGAACTTCAACATCCAGATCCCGACAGCCGAGTATGAGGAGAACCCGTCGTACCGTAGGCACCCACTGCAATATCTGTTCAGCCTGCTCCTGCACACGGAGAAGAGCACATACCAGTTCATCGAGTCGCAGACGAACCTGCTCTGCCTACTACACGAGGTCAAAGAGGCCGTGACGCACGCCAAGGCCAGGGTCGTCCAGAGCGAGGCCGAGGACGGCGACATTGAGGAGTACGGCGACGAGGAGCGCGAGGCGCGGGCGCAACGTCTGCGGCAGGAGGAGGGCCTGGTGCTGACAAACGACCTGAAGGAGAAGGTGCGCGTCGTCCAGGACCAGTGGACCAGCGCCCTGGGCGAGAAGATCAAGAATGTTAAGCAGATGTTGGGGGAGTATCTGTTAGAGACGGGGGGTTGGGACGAGACCCTTGAAGAGGGCGGCGTGGGAAGTGTCTAGAGAACGTCGGCGTCGGGAAGACTTGGAAGAGGCAAGACGATGGGTTATAGATTTTTGCTCACGGCTTCAACGACGTTGATACCCCTTTGCGTATGTAATGATTTTTATTTTACACTTGTATGTACTTGAGAAGCGCTGGATCTTGGATCTGCAGCCCAGGAACCCACTAGATATGACACGAAGAGATGGAAGTGAGAAGTTCTATTTTCTCAGCCTGATGCGAGTGTTTTGGGAATGTGATAATACGTTCCCGTTTTCAAGCGCATTGGTCCTCTGGAGATTTTCGCATGTTGATGATAGATTCTTGAACGTATTTTCCGACCCAAACGCCTGCCCCTGGTAATGTACATATTAAAATAAGACGCGTAAAAGAGAGGCATTGACGGTGGAGAAACTCGCCAAGACCGTAGTATATCCGTATTCGTAACAAGGAGATGCCCCGACAGTCATTGTGGTAGACGGTCTTCATTCTCGGCCGATAATGTCGGATGTCCCGCCCGTGCAACCGAGCCTCGTGGCTCGACCGGCACCCGTCTGCATCTCCCGCGAGCCTCCAACACTCTACAGTTCAACTCAGTCACAAAGCCGATCAATTCAACCGATCTTTAAACTCCTTGGGCAAGTCCATGCCGACTCTCCGGGCCGTAAGGCGCACGCGTTCCTCCTCGTCCATGTCCATGCCCGGGTTGTAGCGCTCGAGAAGGGTAACATAGGTGCGCTGGGCGCGGAGATAGGCGGCGAGCTGCTCGGCCTCCGCAGTGACAGCTTCGGTGTTGGCGTTGGCGTTGGTCTGGGCGAAGCTGGCGCGCAGGCGGTTGTGGATGGAGGAGCGCTCGCGGGCGAGGACGGGACGGGGAGGGAGCTCGCGCAGGAGGGAGCGGTAGATGGAGCGTAGGCGGGGTGCGGCCGTCATCGTGTATCTATAATTGGGCAGATTTGATGGTTGTTTTTTGCTGTCGTTGTCGTTGGTCTTGTTGTCGTCGTTGTCGTCGTCGTTGCAGTATGGTGCCGGTTGCAGACGTCGAGGTGGTGTTGGCGCGGTGATTGTAGTGGATAATTTTCTGCAGCGGTTCACGATGGAATGGAAGTGGTCGGGGTCCTCCTCGTCTTTATTTTGGAGCTTACCTTACGGTCCCTATCTACCTAGGTAGGAAGGTAGCGGCGGTGGATCCTTGCTGCTGCTGCCGCTGCACGCTGTACAGTGCATAGCACCTTGGGGCTCTCAACTCACCACCTGCAGCGGCAGTCGTTACGCACTGCACTTCCGCTATCGGCCACGATTCCCCACACCAGCACAGGGAGCAGTGGGCACGCATGGAGGGGTGTTACCTAAATGCCCCTCGACAGCGCATTCTCAGCCCTCAGACCTATCTGTCTCGTCCCCCTCTTCCGACCCTTCCTCTCTGCTCAGGCGTATATCCACAGAATGAGAAGTGGATGATCTAGTGAAAAGTCGATTGGTACTGTACTGGAAGTTGCTGGCTATTCCACCCCCTCTGTGTGCATGTGTGTGCGTGTGTCCACATTTATATTGAAAAAAAAAAACCGTGCCATAGGATATCCCTCCAAGCACCCTCGCTCGTATGACGCAACAGCTCTGCTTTCTTGGACTATCCCGGCCAGATCAGACCCAAAAGCCTACCCATCTCCGGCCTCCTACACCCCTCTATATACACCTTTTACCTCGTCCGAGAGTTCTATGCCCTCCGACGTCCAACCATCCAACAAAACGAGACAGAAACCCGCCAGCATCTCGTCTATACCCTTCCTCCTCATCTCCGTATTCGTTGCGACGCTGGCCATCCTGTCCCTACGAGCCATCCCCCGGCTCTCCCTCCTCTCGGACCACTTCCTCCCCGCCACCCTCTTCACCAACACCCCGCGCGCCTTCTTCTCGACTTCCAAGAGCCCGTCGCCTGCCATGCCCTTGTACGCCAAGGAGCTCGAGGTCGCCCAGCTGGCCGTCCAGCGCGCCTCTATCCTCACCAAGCGCGTCTTCCACGAGAAGGCAAAGGGCACCGTCGACAAGAACGACAAGTCCCCCGTTACCATTGGTGACTTCGGCGCCCAGGCCCTCATCATCTCCGCCCTCCGCCATCACTTCCCCGACGACGAGATCGTTGCCGAGGAGGAGGCCGCCCAGCTGCGCTCCGAACCCGCCCTGCGTGACCAGATCTGGGAACTCGTCCGCACCACCAAGCTCGATGACTCGTCGGCCGAGTCCTTCCTCGGTGGCGCCATTGAATCTCCCGAGAGCATGATGGATCTCATCGATCACGGAAACAGCAAGGGGGGTGCCGCCGGCCGCATATGGGCCATCGACCCCATCGACGGTACCAAGGGCTTCCTCCGTGGCGGCCAGTACGCCGTTTGCCTCGGCCTCATGGTTGACGGCGACGTCAAGGTCGGCGTCCTCGGCTGCCCTAACCTTCCCGTCGACGATAAGGCGCCTCTGACGGCCGACATTGGCTCCAACGCCAATGACGCCACGGGTTACGGCGTCATCTTCTCCGCTGTTCTCGGCCAGGGCGCCACCTCCCGCCCGCTGCGGACGGGCACCATCGCCGAGGGTGCCCCCATCTCCATGCGGCCCATCACCGAGATGTCGGCGGCGACCTTCTGCGAAAGCGTCGAGGCCGGTCACAGCGCACACGATGACCAGGCGCAGATCGCTGCCAAGCTCGGCATCACCAAGCCCAGTGTCCGCATGGACAGCCAGAGCAAGTACGGCTCCATCGCACGCGGCGCCGGCGATATTTACCTTCGCCTGCCCGTCAGTGCGACATACCAGGAGAAGATCTGGGACCACGCGGCGGGAGACCTCATCGTGCGCGAGGCCGGCGGCCAGGTCACTGATATCCATGGCAAGAGATTGGACTTTTCCGTCGGCCGGACGTTGGCAAACAACAAGGGTGTCATCGCCGCGCCGGCCGCAGTGCACGGAGATGTCTTGAAGGTTGTACAGGACGTTCTAAGCTCAAAATCCAGCTAGGCAAATGCAAGAGGATAGATCCGTCACTTTTGTTTCTGAAAAACAGCGAAACGAAAGAGAAAAAGTAATAGTATACAATGCGTCTTTTTTCTTCCCCGTCCGCACAGTGATATCAATATAGCTATACACAGCCCTCCGGCTTTTCCGTTGGATACGCACCGCATTCGGGTCCATTGTAGCGGTGCCATAAATCCATCCACACATCTCGTCTGCCAACTCTGCCTCATCTATTTGATCTTCTTCTGCTTCAGCTTGATGGTCTGGTCGTTGATGAAGACACCCTTGCCCTTGTACGGTTCCGGCGGCCGCCACTTGCGCACGCGGCCAGCAAAGCTCATGATCTCCTCCCGGTCTATGCCCTCAAGAAGGATACGCGTCGGGCTCGCTGCCGTCGCCTTGACGCCACGCGGGATGCCCAGCTCGACCGGGTGCGTGAAGCCAAGCTTGAGGCAGAGAAATTTCTGGCCTGGGAACTCTTCCTTGCCGCCTCGCTGCTCGACGGTCGCGCGGTATCCGATGCCTACGAGACGGAGAATCGCCGTATGACCTTCCGAGACGCCCATGATGTAGCGCTGGAGGTAGGCCCATGTCGTGCCTGTTAGATGGAGAATCAGTCAGCAAACGGTTCAGTTGACGGTTTTGTAAGAACGGAGAGCCATTTCGGCACGAGCCAGAGCTCAGGCTTGCTTCAGATAGATACACTGGAGACCTGGGTAGCAACTCACCCCACATCTCGCTCTGCTCCTTGACATTCGAGTCCTCGACGCTAAGAAGCGCCCGCTTGCCCTCGACATCGTGGTCGATATTTAAAAAAGACGGGATCTCAAGATCCAATTTGCCTGATCCAACCCATTGGTTAGCATTTCCTACACCTCTGTTTCCGTGGGCAGTTTTAGCCAGGACAAGCACGAACCCAGGGGCCCGGTGACGGTGACGGTCCTCTTGTACACCTTGAGATAGCTCGTCGGATCCTTCTTCAGCTTGGGCTCGCTGATGGCCAGCTCCACACCAGGCGGAATCGATAGAGGCGTTCGGCCAAGCTTCGAATGCCGTGTCGGCGTCGAGGAGAACTGTCGTCGGGACAGCAGGAAATTTTGCTGCTGTAGGAATGGCGCAAGAAAAGCCGGTATCGTCGTAGCTGGCGAGGCGGCAAACACCTGCCTCAAGGCCGTTCCTCGGCTGGAGGCAAGCATTGTGGTCGTGGAATGGCAAGCTTCACCCTCCAAATATGCTCTCCTTCGCGTGTTGCTTGACAGATGAGATTAGGGACCTACAGGAACTTTTCCGCGTCTTAGTCATCCACATCAGATCCACTTTGAGGCTTCTTCCGATTGGCCCCGGTTCAGCTCAAGGGTGTCCACGTTAGATATAGGTAACCTATCAGTCACGAAAGAGGATTCGAATACTTGAGCTCTGGTAAGCTTAGAGATGTCACAATTGCCATAAAACCATGCATTGATATCAATGTTGCCAATAATTTGTACAGAGTAATCTCTGATTCTTCGTACTCATTTTGATACGCCAGGCGAACTACTAAGAGAGGTATATCTAGAAGCCCATTTCCAGTGTAGAGCTGGAATAGTGAAGCGAAATGTCACCGCAGATGGGTTGGGTGGAGACATGGCCAAGGTGGCACAGCGTTTTCAGACAACGTTTAAACCTCCTCCTCCAGGGGGGCGTCATCCTCGTACTCCTCCTCCTCCTCGTCAACACCAGCGTCCTGGTACTGCTGGTACTCAGAGACCAAGTCGTTCATGTTGGACTCAGCCTCAGTGAACTCCATCTCGTCCATACCCTCGCCAGTGTACCAATGCAAGAAAGCCTTACGACGGAACATGGCAGTGAACTGCTCACCGACACGCTTGAAGAGCTCCTGGATGGCGGTAGAGTTACCGACAAAGGTGGAGGACATCTTGAGGCCGCGGGGAGGAATAGAGCAGAGGGCGGTCTGGACATTGTTGGGGATCCACTCGACGAAGTAGGAAGAGTTCTTGTTCTGGACGTTGCGCATCTGGTCCTCGACGTCCTTCATGGCGACCTTACCACGGCTGAGAGGCAGCTGTTAGTAAGTGTTGACATTGTAGGGTGGTTGGAAATGACACTTACAAGATGGCAGAGCAGGTCAGGTAGCGACCGTTGCGGAAGTCAGAGGCAGCCATCATGTTCTTGGGGTCGAACATCTGCTGAGTGAGCTCAGGAACGCTGACAGCGCGGAAAGAGTGGGCACCACGGCTGGTCAGGGGAGCGAATCCGACCATGAAGAAGTGAAGACGGGGGAAGGGAACCATGTTGACGGCCAGCTTACGCAGGTCAGAGTTCAGCTGACCAGGGAAACGCAAGCAGGTGGTAACACCGGACATGACGGCAGAGACGAGATGGTTCAGGTCGCCGTACGAGGGGTTAGAGAGCTTGAGAGTACGCATGCAGATGTCGTAGAGAGCCTCGTTATCAATGCAGAAGGTTTCATCGGAGTTCTCAACCAGCTGGTGGACGGAGAGAGTGGCGTTGTAGGGCTCAACAACGGTGTCGGAAACCTTAGGGGAGGGAACGACGGAAAAAGTCGCCATCATGCGGTCGGGGAACTCCTCGCGAATCTTGGAGATCAACAGAGTACCCATACCAGCACCAGTACCTCCACCAAGGGAGTGGGTGATCTGGAAGCCCTGAAGGCAGTCGCAGCCCTCAGCCTCGCGGCGGACGACGTCAAGGACCTGGTCGACAAGCTCAGCTCCTTCGGTGTAGTGACCCTTGGCCCAGTTGTTGCCGGCACCGGACTGGCCAAAGACGAAGTTGTCGGGGCGGAAAAGCTGGCCGAAGGGACCGGCGCGGACGGCATCCATGGTACCGGGCTCCAAGTCGACGAGGACGGCGCGAGGGACATACTTGTTGCCGGAAGCCTGGGTGCGTGACAAGGTCAGTATTCGTCAATAGGTTTGTCTGCTCCCTGGGGAACTAGGATGACAAACTTCGTTGAAGTAGACGCTCATGCGCTCGAGCTGGAGCTCAGAGGTGCCATTGTAACTGTTGAGAAATTAGCGGTGAACTCGAGGAAGTGGCCAGATCTGGAGGTTGGCAACATACACGCCATTGCTGTCGAGGCCGTGCTCGCCAGAGATGTTTTGCCTGTGCCCGGATTAATATTCAATGTCTTTTCGAGACCGATCTCGCCGAGTCGGTGGTGTCGATCTGGATACGCACCAAAAGGCAGCACCAATCTGGTTACCCTATTCAAATAAGTTAGCCCCGCACCTTGGATTGTTGGTCGGGATCAGGAAAGACTTACGCACTGGCCGGTCTGGAGGTGAACCTATCGAGTATAACAATCAATGGTCAGCAATGTATCCCCAAGGTGTATACTGTTGGTGATGGCAATCATGGTCGTGTTCGGTGAGGACCAGTGTTGGGTGGAATTGTCGGCGGGGTACGTTCAGGGGCAAGGTCGACGATTTGACGCCAAACGCGTCGGTCGCAGGTTTATTTGTTACGAATGGGAGAGGGGAAGGACTTACAATCTCACGCATTGTGGATGATGAAAAGCTCTTGAGCTGACTGGGCCGACGATGAGCAATGGAGAGGAAGAGTGGGAGGTGCTTGAGAGCTGCGCGAAGCTTCCAAGGCGGACGTGGTTCGAGAGTGGGTGAGGTTAAGGTGTGGTTAGGTAGGGGGAAAGGTTGTTGATTTTTGTTTGCGGGTAAAAGTGATTTTGTTCACCGCCACGGGCCCGGGTGGACAGCAGAAGAACAGGCCAGCGGCCCAGAGACAGGCCAGAGAGGAAAGGGTGCAGCTCGCTTGTTTACTATTGGGATCCGTGCACGATCCTGATTGGGGAAAGACCATTCCGAGGCACTATTTGATGGTGGGGTCGCAACAAGTCGAGGGCTCAGATCGGTGTTGATTGGCAGGCACGACGTGTTACCTGGGTACGTACCTGCCCGCCCAATTATCCCTATTCTGCTCCTCTGTTCTCTCCGATCCAAGACCCGGCCGGGATGACCGACTGCACTGAGGCTTCCAAGTATCTAATAACACGACACGCCTAGACAGCCATAATCTATGTATCACAAGGCATGAGACTTTGGCACTCCGGAGCAGTCAGCAAGGGGGCTCCAACGACAAGAGGTAGCCAGCCGTCTGTGCATTACTTATGCCGGGGAGATGCACCACCGCTAGCCCCAACCCACCAAGCCTCCGCCAATTGAGCTATCCGGCCTTGTCTCCAAGCGCTGGTCAACAACGCTAAATTACAAAGTGGAGCCAAATGTGCAGGGGTTCTATTGCTGCCAAATTGAGCCGACGGTGTGCCTGAGAGCCATCAAACTGGGCTGGTACGCTGGGCAGGACGACACGAGCAGTAGTGTAATTCAACTTCCTCAAGGAGGCGCGTGGTGACTGACAACTCAGGCATCCCTATTCTCCACAAAATTAAGTAAAAGAAATGGTTCGGCGTCTATGGAAAAACTATCTTCCCAAGCACGAGTATCATTCTCCCTTAGTGAGCCTTGACAACACCAGCCGCATCGGCCTGAGATGCGATTCTCTTCTTGTAGGCTTGAACATCGCCAGAGAACTTCTCGACCGTGCCTCCATCGCACACCCAGAGAGAAGTGCACACTGTCTGCAACATGGTGACATCGTGAGAAACCATGAGGACACCGCCCTGGAATTCCTTTAGAGCAGAAGCAAGCGCGTCCATGGCCTCAATATCGAGATGGTTAGAAGGCTCGTCGAGAACCAAAATATGCGGGTTGGTAAGCGCAAGACAGGCAAAGGCGACACGAGACTTTTGACCACCAGAAAGCACCGCCATCTTCTGCAGACCAGTTGTACCCGTGATGCCAAAGGCACCCAGTTGTCTACGATACTCCTCGTCGGTCTTACCCGGGTATTCCTTGGCCATGAACCCAACGGCGCTCATGGTCAAGTCCAATGCATCAACGTGATGCTGGGCAAAGAAACCAACGCGCAGACGGGGGTTCTGCGAAATGAGACCGGAAGTAGGGGACAGCTTTCCAATCAACAGCTTGAGGACAGTTGTTTTACCCGCACCGTTGGGTCCGACGATGCCGATTCGAGAATCCAGCTGCACGTCGAGATCAACGTTGCGCAACAAGATCTTGTCCTTGCTATACCCGAACGTCACGCCAGTCATCTGAATGATGGGGGGCGTCATCTTTTCGACGTCGGGGAACTTGAAGTGCACGCTATACTCGGTCTCAGGCGGTTCGAGTACTGGCATTTTCTCGAGTTTCTTGATGCGCGACTGAGCTTCCGAAGACTTGGCTGCGTTGTATCTGAATTTGTCGATGAAAGCCTGGAGATGGGCGCGCTGTGCCATTTGGTTCTCGTACTCTCTCTTAGCCGTCTTCTTACGCTCTTCACGTGTAGCGTAGAAGGACTCGAAGTTGGCGCCGCGATAGTAGTCGAGGCGCTGAGAGTGCTGGTGAATGATATCCGTTGCGATTTCGTTGAGGAAGGCTCTGTCGTGGGAAACAACCAATACGGTGCTGGGATATCCTTGTAGGTAGTTCGAAAGGAAGGCAATGGAGGGAACGTCCAACATGTTGGACGGTTCGTCAAGAAGCAACAGATCGGGTTCGCAGAATAGTGCTCTCGCAAGAGCCAGACGCATACGCCAACCACCGGAGAAGGTCTTGGTGGGATATTGTTGGCGCTCAGCTGAGAAACCAAGACCAGCCAAAATACTTGCGGCTCTTGATTCGGCCTTGTCGGATTCCATCTCAGCCAGCTTGCCCTGGATGTCGCCGAGGCGGCTGTCCTGGGCTTCCCTCTCTTTGTCGAGCCTCGCAGCGTCAGCTGAGGTATCAGCCAAGCCGGTCCGTTGACTCTCAATATCTGCCAGCTTCTGTGTGATTTCCTAATGAATTGTCAACATACAGGAGACCCAAATGATTATGGTTGAAGGGTAACCTACAGCCTGCTCTTTGAGAAGAACCTTACGCCACACATCGGCATCGAGCACGGCTTGGATTGCAGGGGTATCATCTCCGGTAAGCTAGATGGGCGTCAGTCATGAAGTGGGGCAAAAACCGAATACTCTATCATCCTTACCTCCTGTTCGACGTGAAGAATGGTGATATGGGGTGGAATAGGCAATTCTCTGCGAGACAAAGCACGGAGAAGCGTAGATTTACCGACACCGTTGTGACCAACAAGACCGTATCTGTGACCGTAGGACAGGGTCAGGTCGGTATCGGTAACAATACGCTGACCACCGATGGACACGTCAATGTTGTCCAACTTGATATCTTTGGTCTTGTTCGCACCGGAACCGCCGATTTGCAGCGGGTTGACCGCCATGTAGAACTCCTCGTATGATTGAGTAGACTCTGGCTCATCGAGCAACCTGGAAGCCTCGTATTCAACTGTTTTGAATGTCTTCTTCTGCTGCTTGGCGGCGATCTTGCGCTCGGCCTTCTCCAATTTCTTGCGGTCGACCTTGGACTCGACCTTGCGAGCGTTTGCGGACTCGAGGTCAACGGCTCCAGTTGAAACGGCCAAGGTGGAAGACATATTTCGTTGAGAGCTAACCTGGAAGGTCTCGTCAAGTCGCTTCACAGCAGAAGGACCACTCCGAATACCACCGTTAGCTTCAGTGTACTTCTCGACCCATTTCTCAACGAGCTTCTCAATCTTCTCTTGGAGCTTGGCATCGGGCTTTCCAGAAGCAGAAAGCAGCAACTCGATAACAGCAGCAGCAGCCTCCGCAATGGGTGAAGGGCCGGACTGGTCCTCCTCATCGGAATAGATGGTCGATGCGTGGGTCAGGTACCCGACGGAGTACTCAGAGAGCACCGGGTCGATGTTGGGCAACACGGTTCTGATTTCAGCGTCCATTCTGACAGTGGCGTGAAGTGATTGGAGGGGCTAGCTTGGGAAACAGGATGCTTCACTCTGTGAACAAACGTTTCGGAGTGCAAAACGTTGGCAAGAACTGACTTTGTGTAGTCCTCCCTTCGCCTGACTGGTTCACGTAGCTGTTGGCGATCTCATCGGTAGCCGTTTGCGATATTCAGAATGAGCCTCAAAGATGTGGGCCCCGTTTGCCCTGCCCGGGCCGGCGGTCAATCCATGGATAAACCTCGGCTCGCGGCCACTACAGCATCCATAAAGTAACCTAAAAACAGCCAACTCGACCGATCGGTAGTAGTTTTGCATCACCAGCTTGGCGGAACGATTCTGAATCCTTCACCAAAAGGCGCACTCATACTCGGAGTAAGCCGCACGACAACATTCCTATTCCAGTCGCATCGAGTGTATTCTCTACACGATGTGCACGTATACATCTGCCTACGGGTTCCTACCAGAGATAAGACGGACCCCATGTTTTTGAATAACCCGACTAGGTGGGTGACGGTCGATGATTGATATGCCCGTGGAGTCGGTTGAGACAAACGGGCGGAATAGTACCGGTAACATTCCACGGTTGGGATGGAATGCCCCATCGATCAGGCCTTGCCACCACCGTCACCGACATTTCCTGGACGAAACCTTCTGAAACTTACAGTCTCAATCTGACAGAGGCCAGCCGAGATGTACTTGCAAAACCTAGCTCAACCCGTGCCAACGAATCAGAATGCGTAAATCATCAGAAACCTTCGGGTTGGGTACCATGTCGTGTGTTGACCACCAAGATTCGACGCGCGACCTGCAGAGATGAGTGAACGTCATCTATTTTGTTTCGCGCAGCTGCATGCAAACCGGCGGGAACTGTAGCACACGCGCGACAACTTGCAAGGATTCGTGTGTTGCGTGGCAACCAACCAAAGGCCGGCTCTGCTCGAAAACGCACAATTCTGGCCTCCTAACGAGCCTCACAAGGGGATGGCGATTTGAGCGATGCCGAAGAAGTTTTGGCTCCATTCTGCGCCATGTTACGCTATGTGTTGGATGTCCATCCAGGGATCCCCATCAACAAGTAAAGAAAGCTGCTCCGATGTTGGATGCTTCGCTGCACAGACGAATATGTACAAGCCCAGACAGCACCCATCTATGTATGCTTTCATCCGCTAGGATGGGACCCGCGAGGACTAAATGGGCATCATCGCCGTAGTCGGTGTCTTGGATTGAAATGAAGCATGGGATTCGAGAAATAAATGCAGAAATCTTGCAATTTACAACATTGCAGCGGCTGCATGGCAACATCTGGCATTGTCGACTGCAGGGAGCAGCTTGGCATATCCTTCTGGAGAGGACTCCACGTCATCTTTCAAGTCACAGTTCGGTCATTGTCTCCTCACTCCAGCGGAACCAACATACACGAGGTCTAATGCGGGAACGCCCCCCGGTCTTTATCGAAACAGACGCCGCACTCTCGGAAGCTAGTCGTGCTACTTCTTGGCCTTCCTGCTCTATCAATACCACCATAAAATGAACCTTGTTCCCGCTCAGAGTTGCATGCGGACATATGGTGCAACCATTGAGGCTTCGCATAAGCGGTTCCCGAAGGGAAACCTTGTTACGGATGCGAAGGAGATGCAGGAGACAATGGTAACCTGTTCTCACGTCTACCACGACCTTGGTGCAACGAGAAATGTTCGAATTGAGTGATTTGCATTGATCCAGGCCCACCCCCAGGATTCCCCAGGGTCCTCTGTATTTGCGAGATGCCATATTGGGATCTTACATCCGCTGAGGACTTACGAAACGCAAGCTCATTGGGGAAGCTTCCGATGGGTGCCATGTCATGATAGTGCAATAACCCAGCGCCAGCTTGTCTTATTCTACAAACCATGATCTTTTGAGACTCGGAGTCAACATTCTCAATCGGAGCCCCTTCTGTCAACCTTGCCCGATTGCAACCCTGCTCTGGTTAACTGGGGCGGAGCTAAATAAAGCGCGATTTCCTTATTTCTTTCCTCCTTTCTTTTTTGTGTAAGCGGCCCTTTACCAGGCAGGCTTCCCTGCTCGAACTCCTCTCTACCACCAGTTCCGCATAGGTACCTAGGTAGACGATTGAGGAGATGCCCATCGAGCTTTCGGCACTGGAGACTGTCACTTCTCAGCATGACCAGTCGGGCCAGGGCTTTTCTGGCTCAAGGGATCTAGAGCGTCGGCCTTCTCTCTATTTTAGCTTGTGGGTGGTAGCACTACCAACGGATCCCGCATTTAAAGTGTATGGGAAGATGACGGGCAGCCAGACCCAGCCATCCAAGTGAAGGATCTTCAGGGCTAAGAGATGAGTGGGAGGGGCGCTGTACTCGGCATTTTTTATGGACAAAGAGTAGGTGACATGTCGCGCCAACAAACCTGCCGAGCAGGGTCATCAGGTGGCCCCGTCTCGAAGGAGAAAATGAATTAAAATGAAAATAAAAATAAAAAGGGCAACGAAGAGGCTCCCGGCGTCCAATACGATAGGTAGCATCGGACCCGGATAGGTGCAACCCTCTGCTTCAACCTCGTCCCGTCGTATTCGCCTCCCCTCCAAGGCGCCGTACCAGATACCACGTTCTCGTACCGAACCCCGCGGGATAGACAGAGGAGGCTTTTTTTGTTTCAAGTTTCACGCGGTCAGGCCTGCTAGCAGGGTGATAACAATCCATGTGGAATTCTCCGTGCATGTTCAATGCGGGAGCCCGGCCGCATTGTCGCGCTCTCTTCGTGGCAACTTGAAAAATACATCCTTCATTGGTCCCGAGCTGATGCACCTGTTGCATGGCTAGCTTCCGGCCATGCGCTTTTTCTTTGGCAGGACGAATCCCAAACGGGTCGGAAACCCTGGCCTGCCGCTAATCGATTTCATACTTTTCCCCTCATAGCGGGCAAAAGAGCAAGCTCTTCCGGTTTGCCGTCTCCTATAATTGCCAGCATATATACCCATACTTGGTCAACCCCCGGGCTAGGCGTGGGCCGACTAGCACGGCGATAGCAATGACAACTACGGATACTTGGCCATACCTTGGCGTGCGCTTCCTGGCCAAATCGCTTACGGGCTTACGTAGCAGTCGGCCGGTCGTAGGTATTGAGCAGCATTGAGGGTTGTTCCACCTTATCAAGGGAAGGTCATGACTGGCACACAGGTTTTCTTATGCAATTCCAACAAGAGAAATGAAAGACGTACGGGGCAACGGTTTAACCAAATCGGGCAACGCCCAAAAGAAAAGAAGAAAACAACCGTAGTAGAAGACGGGGCTTGTTTGTGTTTCTTTTGTTGTAGGCTCTAGTCCAACGGCCGCGGATGGCATGCCTGGGAGCCGAACCAGTCTCGCTACGAACATTTGCTAAGGGTCTTGGTCGTGGATCCTTGGTGACTTCAAACTTTCGGAACGACGATGCCCAGAGTTGAGTCGAAGTGATTGCGAGTTCCGTCTCTCAGGCCTCACAACTGGGGCTGCTAGGACTGGCCAAGCCTTTCTCTGCCAGACGTTCCGAAGCGTACACGGCGGAATAAGAACAAGAGGGGAGGGGCCTGAGAGCCTACGTTGTGCAAGGCCAGATGCAGATGGCGGGACGCATGTTGTCATTGGAATCATCCTTCTTCTACATGTACATGTCCCTTCTCGAAGGAATCCACCTTGGCCATGCCCGCCCACATCTAGCCTGCGCTAGAGAGCCGCCAGGCGGGGGTCGCCCACAACCAAGTAAAAGCGCCGGGCTGGCTCCGCTCCAACACTGGTGAGATGCGTTGTTGTTGGTTTGACGAACGGACGAGGTGGGATTCCGTAGTGAGACAGGATGCCAAACGTTGAGTAGAGTTTGCCTAGTCGGCGACGAACCCAGGTGTTTCCACAATGCGTGGTTGATGATCACGGGGCGGAAAGGGAAGAGAGGAAGCAAAGAACGAAACATGGGTGGCGGGAGGCTACCTACACGAGCTTGCCAAGTTCCCAACCGTCGTGCCAGCCATGGTTTTTGCAGAAGTCCAGTGAGAGAGAGGATTCCGGGAAACTCGAGGCTGGCTGGCGGGGGAAAGAGTCCTAGAGCCTCAAGGCGGAGCCCATCGTCACTCGCCAGCCGCCCTGGGCCTGATTGCTTGAGCAGAGCGGGGAGAAACAGTGGGAACATTGTGTACCCCAAACACCAATCGGGGGCCGGGCTTGATCGGGTATGCAGAGAGTTGGCAAGAGAGCCAGCGTCTTTGACGGTCCCCAACAACGTCAGCAACGTCGCAGACGACATAACAGGACGATAATTGGGGGAGGGGCAAGCCGGGGCCGGCAGACCACCTACTTGCGGCATTGCCCGGAGGACACAGCAAGCTTGACGAAGCCGCGACATCGGCTCTTTCTTGCATTATAAGCAAGACACGGCATACGCATGTTGAAACGGGTCTGCGGTATCACCTCATCAACAAACAAGACAAGGCAAGGCAGCGGCAGCAGCAGCAGCAGCAGCAGCAGCAAGGCAACGGTAAAGCCCTGTCTGCGCATTGTAAGTTCCGTCCGATGCGTCACACACACATGGTTGAGAGAGATGGGTCGTGTATGTGTTTACACTAAACGAAGGAGATGAGGGGTCGATGGCCACTTTGGGTAGCTTGTTTACTTTGTCTTGCTTTCCTACCTAAACTAGCTAGCTTGGTTGGGCGGTGTATGGCGTTGTGTTGTTGTTTTGTTGTTGCAGCCACCGCAACCCCAAACACAAGCCAGCAGGCGACCCACCACTGGATCCCGGGGCCCTTGTTCGTCCCCTCTCCTTCCATCCCATGTCACCTCGTCACTATGGGGTCGGGGCGGTCACATCACAACATCAGACCGCAGGCCATCCAGCTGAATCCGTCCCGACGCCTTTCTTTTGTTCTTTATCCCCGGCCGGCTCTTGATGTCCCGCCCAGCCGCGCGCTTTTGCGTTGTCGTACATGATCTGGTAAAACAGATCCTGTTGATGGGGCAATGCGTGAGTTTGGTTCTACAGAGATCGTCCGTGGTAGCGGCAGATGCAGATGCACGTGACACCATACATACCGTACACTAGTAATGCAGGACGTACGTACAGGACGTATGGTGTGGATATACCACACCAACTTGTACCAGATCACTTGTTAGTGTGGTTGTCTACCTAGATGAGATTAGAGGAAGATGAGACTAAAAGCGACAACTGATGAGATGCAGAGGGCAAGCATCGGCCGTGTCTCTCGGATGCTCCATTGTTCCTCCTGTCTGGTCTCCAATTAAGCATTGTCCGAACTATCTCCCAGCACAGATGCTTCAGCCGGCACGTACAAGAGCCGGCACCACTGAACAGACCATCAGACGTGGCCAGCTCTGTGTTGTTTATGCGACCGTGCCCTCGCAATCTTGGGGCGGGAACTAGAATGAGGTGGCCGAAAACAAGGGCAGCTCCTTTACGTATCTATTCTGCCTCCGGTTTCAATTTAGAGAGCTCACGAGAGTCCTCGCCTGATAATTGCGACTCTCTCTGGCTCGTGTACTGGTAGACGAGAGCATGTCTGATGCATGTCTTTGGATGAGGCATATCGACAGAGATGGAAAAGACCGACCACAGGGGACATGCAGATGCCCATGGGTTGAAAGGGCGACGACTGAGCGACACGAGGAGCGGTAATAGCGGCGCCAGGGCAGGCAGGGCAGGGCAGGGCAAAGCCGTAAGAGAGACTCAGTCAGCTGCTCTCTCGGAAGCAGAGATGAATTGCTGCATGTGTCAGAAGCCAAGCGAGCGTGGCTTGACGCCGTGCAGCTGTGCACAGAAGTAGGGGAAGAAGTAAGGAGACACCAGAGCTGAGGATTCTGCCACCAATGATGGGACAACCCATGCTTGGCCCGGCACCTTGATATCCAACGGACTCACAAGACCGAGTGAGTTTGCCCTCTATGCATCCGCTAGCACTGGCTGGTGGGCTTCTACCGACCGGGCCCGTGACCAAACGGCGTAGGATGTTCCCAAACTTGGCCGCGTGTTGCGGCGCTTTCTTGGTGGTGGGAGGGGGGAAGGATTGTGGAAAACGCCGCTTAGGGTTGGTTCCCTGGGCTCTCGGGCATGGCCATGGCGCAGCAGCTTCAGACAGGTTCAGGACCGGGTAGGGTAGTTATCTAGCAGTATCCTCGCAGCGGCTTTTGCTAGCCAGATTGTGCCATCGTCTAAATTACCATTATCGGCAACACGCGAAGCTCTCGGGGCCACCGGAGAAAAGCGAGTGATAGCAAGATAGAAGGAGGCAGAGGGACCGCAAAGTGGTCGGTGCCCATCTCATTTACGGGTTTTGGTCGAGATCGTTGGAACGATGTTGATCCGTATCGTGTGGTGTAGATATTTTAGGGAAACGCACTTGACCCTCTGGCAGACCGGGGGATATGAGATAGCAGGTCTCAGCCGATACGCGCTAGGACCGATGTCAATCCTTCCTGATCGCCCCTGGTCCCGTTCTACCAAGTGTCTTTTCTTCTCCCGTCCACCTGGCCCAGCAGCCAGTTTTCTCCAGTATCCATCCCATCGGGGTTCGACGGCGGCCATGAGGGACTGGGGTCCGATCCGACTGGGGTCCAACTTGGGCCGCTTGTGGGAAAACAAGGGAGGCAGAAGGGGATGGACATGGCCTAGCCCGGACGAGAGAGGGTCAACAAAGAAGCTATGAGGTTACGATGGAGGCTGGGTAGCACGTGTGGCATTAGAGGTTAGTAGTAAGGTAGTGGGTGGGTGGTGTGGTTGGTCTGATACTGGGGCGAGCAGCGGCGGCGAGGAGGTGAAGAAACGGACATAATGGGTGGCGGCGGGTTTACCAGATGGCTGTCCGAATAAGGTGGCCGAGAAAACAGGGAAGGCGTTCCGTTCTTCATCGCTTGGGTTAGTCGGAAAGGGATGGTGGTACGGAAAGGGAGGACGAGAATGAGGATACCAGATGCTCGTCTGGTGCGATATTGGTTGGCATTGGTAGTAACCGTGACATTGTCAGTTGTAGCGAGAAACTGAGGGACACCCGGTGGAATAAGCAGGTAGGCAGGCAGGTATAGGTATTGCCTGACCCGCTCTCCCTCACGGGGAATGATGGACCTGCCGCGTCTTGACGACAGCCGATGCGGGCGGAGCGATGCGAGGACAAAGAGAATACTATATCCGTACGGAGTATCCGTACATGACGGACGGATGAAAGAATGAATCAAGGAATGAATGGATGGATATACACCACTAGGTCGTAGCTTACACTACCTAGGATAGGTGTAGGTAGTAGGTAGTAGATATTAGGGTCGGTATGACTATGGATGCATGGGCGAGGAAAGCGGCTGAGCGGTCTGCTGCGGGAGGCAGGAGGAGGAGAAGGCCTCTCTCTCTTTCGCTCTCTCTCTCTCTCCTTCTCTCCCCCTTCTGTCTCTGTCTTGTTTGCAGTACATTTCTGTCGTAGGGGGGTGAAGAAGAAAGGAAGAAAGGAAGAAGGAAGGAAAGAAATCATGCGGCGGCAGCGGGCATAACACGGCGAGTTGGGCATTGTTATTATTGTGTTATTTGGCTGCTTATTTACGCCGTACTTGATTGAGGCAAGTAGAGCGAGCTGCAGGCAAGGAATGGGCCAATGAGTAGTGCAGGACATGACAGGCAGCCCCCTGACTACGCGCTGACCACACCAACCATGGAAGACGAGCACGCAAGTCGAGGCAGGCAGGCAGGCAGGCAACAGGGCAGGGAAGGGCGTCTCCAGGCAGGCTCGAATCGCTGCAGGAGTTGCTGCACGAGGGGAATCAGCGGGTGGCTTCTCACTGGCTCAGGCTCTCCGATGTCCCTCAGCAGTCATCTCCTGTTGCTCCAGTCGTGGTCCACCCGCCTTATGCACGCCGCCTCGCCAGGTACGATGGGGGTGTGTACTATATCTCCCGCGCTACGTACCTGGCCACACTGCACCCACTGCGTTGCGCGTACCGAAACTACCCAAGGTACAGACGCCAAGTACCGTCGGTAGATACTTGGATATGTAGGTAGGGCATACCTATACAGTAGTACAGCACCTAAATCACCTTAGTGCCTACCTAGGTACCTACAGCATCTGCTGTAGAGTACCTACCTACCTACCGTACAGTTCCTGCAAACATGGGCCCGCCCCTCCTCTATCGCATCAACAAGGCGAATATGGACTAAGAGGCAAGGTACCTTGGCGCAAGTATTGGCCTGTGCCTACCCCACTCGACCCATGCCCTCTCGGGCCCGGTGTCATTTTCTTCTCCAAAGAAACGACCGGGGAGGGAAAAATAAGAGAGAGAGAGACACACACACATACAAACACTGAGGGAGCGAGAAAGACGGAGCGCGCGCGCGTGTGAAGGACGGGACGTTGCCTATCCCACCTGAGAAAAGCAAAGTAGAGCAAGCCGGAGACAGCTCTACTACTAGAGATAGATATACGGATACTACCAACCTCTTTGTACACACACTACCTACCTACCAGATATTGGGTAGTGTACTCTGTATCCGTTCTCTGTACACGTACAGAGACACAGCAAAACAGAGCTGTGAGGGCAAGACTCGCATTCTTTCCTCTCTCTCTCTCTCTCTCCCGAAAGTTCATCCCCCCCCTTGCACTTCCTCTCTCTCTCTCTCGCTCCACGTCTACCGTCATCCTCGAATCCCAGTCTCCAGCTCGCCTGGTTCAACCCCGACTTATCCTCCATTACGGCCATTGACCCGACCCTCCCCAGCCCAGTTCAGTCCAGTCCGAGCAGCCTTGACTTTTCAACCTTGGCCTGGCCCGGGACCAGGACCACCTGGACCTGCTTGTACCTGGACCACCATCCAAAAGAACGAACGAACGTCCGTTCCTCCCTCCCACACGCTCCATCTACCTCCAATCCCACTGCCCTCACCCACCCACCCTTTCAACCTTTACTTCGACCTACCTTGCCTCTCTACCGCGTTCGACCTGCCTGCGCGCGTCCTCTTCCTTCTCTTCGCTCCGCACCCCCTTCCTTTCTACTCTTTCACTTCTATTCCTGGTCTGACCGGGCTTTCTGGAGCCATTGGTCGCTCGCATCGCCTCGACATCCCCAGATAGTTTGTTCCTGAGATCGCGGTTGCGCTTGACCTTTCCCCCTCTCCTTTCGCCCGCTACATACCGTCTTTCTTCCGTTCTGGACCTCACTCTCGTTGACCTCTTTGCGACGCCGCCTGAGTTTTGATTTTCCCCTTGCTTGCCGTTACTTCTTCGCCTCGACATCGTCCTGATTTCACGAGACCCCTCGCCATCTTCTCACGTCGCCGAGACCGCCAAAACACACCCACCCGCTCTGCGCTCACCGCGGGCCACAACACCGATAGTAGACGCGCATTCCTCACCACAAGATCCGAGATACTGGCCCATATGTCTTGACGATGCTGAACACGTCTCTCGAGAGCATTCACGACCCTTTCGCCCGCATGCTCGCCCTCGGTCTCTTCTGCTGGTTCTCCGCGTAGAATAGTAACGTTCTGCCATCATGCAGACCGTTCCCAGTGTAAGTTGCTTTGCTTCCGCTCCATGGTCATACCCGCCCACACATGCCGTGCCGACAGGCATCCCCCAAACACCGCCCAGCACAATCCTGTCGACGCTTTCTTCTCCCACACCCACGAGACACACCGACGCCCGTGCTATATGGGGCTTCCTCATTTCTCATATACTCCTCCATTCCCATCCCCCAATACTTATGCTCCCTGATGCATGCTGCCTTTGCGTGGTTCATCCCATCCCCCAAAGCTGACTCGTCGCCTCTCTTTCCTCTAGCTCGTGGGAACTGGCACTGCCGTTGCTGCGGCGGCCCTCGGTCTCGTCTTTGCTCATCCCGACGACGAGTTGAGTTCCACACAGTCCGCCTCGAACAGGAGGAAACTAGCCTCAGACAAAGACATTCCTCCGAACCATTCACTGAGCGGTCCCACTGTCTCTTTGCGCCCCGACACCAGTTCTGGCGCCCAGCAGTTGCCGACTCCTACAGAAGACGCACGCTACACGACTTTTCCCAACCAACAATTCTCCTTTTCGAACTCCAACGAGCCCTCGTCTGCGCGCCCTTCTCGTCCACTCAGCTCGCATTTCAGCTTTGCGCCGTCGTTGCTGCACAGCAGAAGAGCGTCGTACGTGAAGCAGGGAGACCAGGTGGCACCGCCCTACAACCCGGAGGATCCCAGAGACTCTGTTTCGTCCAATGGGTCCTGGATGAGGCGCTTGTCACTCCGGCCATTGTCACAACACGGGAGCATTAGATCAAGTCTGGGCCTCGACAGCCACTCCGTCGCCTTTTCACACGGTTCCGCGGCCCCGATTCTATCGCCGACCGGCTCGATCCCTCCGCCGTTGCCTCCCAACAAACTAGTAAAGCGACCCCCTTCGTCACAACGCAATGATCCTGTAACGCGCCGCCGATCCAAAACGCACCTTCCCAGTCTTCGTCGGCCCGCCACCAGTCACCAGAGATCTGCCACTTTGCACCGGATCCATCACGACGTGAACCCCGTTGAGCCCGATACCGACCCGAAATTCTCCTTCGACCGCTACCTCCAAAACGCCGGAGATAGTGCTGCAACTCCCCCGCCGCAAGAAAGCGACCCGACTTTCCAAAAACCGAATTCGAGTACTAAGTGGACCTCGTTCTTCCACACGCGCAGAGCCAATGTCACTGCACGGATCGCTCCTGATCGCCTAGTTGACCGCAGTCCCAGCACACGATCCTCCTCGGCGACAACAAGGCGTCTGTTGGTGTCCAACGACAGAAAGCACGGTATCTACCTGGTTGGTGGTGGTATGCTGGGGAACACCGTTGCGCCTCCCGAAGACGTCCCATCGCTTGTGGAAGACGAAGCGGTGGCTGAGGACGCGTGCGACGTTGGAGACACAAGGGAGCCCGAAGAAGACAACACGCCAGCAACGCCAGACGACACGCCGTCCAAACGCACCCGAATCTCAATGCATTTCAACTCTCCCAATTGGATCCCGAGGGCGGGTAGTCTTCGACGGACAAAGCGTGGAGCAGGACCCAAAGGCGGTGGTGGGAGTAAGCGGCACGTCTCTGCGCCTACGTCGATATCCCCCGGCCGCGCCCAAGACGACGAGCATGCTGCGCCTGCGGACGCAGACGACTTCCAAACGCCGCCGTACCATCGAACAGCAGCCAACCTGGAGCTCGCATCAACTGCACATTTGAGTCCACGCAGTTCTCCGTCGCCTCTTCCCCCGCTATCGCGACTTTCCAGCTTCAATGTCGACGTTTCCCGAATAGGCTCATCGGGAGGCGCTGGTCCATCCCCCCGGTCCATCCAACCATCTGGCAGTTCTCAGGGCTCGTCGGCGTTCGCTGCGTACAACCGCAGCGCCCCGACCGATCGAAGCTCGACTTTGAACAGCTCCGACTTCGACTCCCGGGATTTCATCTCGGGTGATGATGACACGGACTTCAAGAGCGAGACCATCTTTGACTCATTTCGAACCGCCGAGTCCGACCGTAACCGCGCGGTCGAGACCCCGCTCGACCACATGTTTGACGAGTCGCCGCCAGGCACTGCTGGACATCTCAGGGCCAAGCGACTGTCTATCCATGAGATTCTCGGCCGCTCATGGGATGCGGATGACAGAATCATGGAGGAGGACGAGAACATGCCGACGCCGGTTCGTGTCAACCACGAGCCAAGAATACGCACCGACTCAGATGTAATGGCACCACGCTACAGCTTGGAGCGACCTTCGAATGAGTATTCTCTCGGAAGTAAGGACTTTGGCCGCTTGTCAATCGAGGACGATTTCGACGACGACGACTGGGCCCGTGACGAGGATGACATGGCCTGGAGCAACCAGCTCTCGCCCCCAAGCTCGATGAACTCTCGTGGCGTCAGTCCCCATCTGCGCATGGCACTTGCTAGTATCAGCGGTAATGGAAACGCCGATGCGGCGCACGACTCTAGCGAACGGCCTCGCAGCAATATTTTTGATTGGAGCGAGCCGACGCAGGAAAAGCCAGATCACAGCAGTTCGTTCCGGCCGAAAACTGCCTACGGAAAGCAGGAACTCGATATGAGAGGTGGTCGTACTGCGGTTCGAAAGGGCCCAACGGCCATGCACGTTCGCAGTCAGAGTGTGCCCGTTGTCCATGATCCCACAGATGGCGCGACAATGAACCCGAAGTTTGGCACATGGGGGCTGAGCAGCAAGACTGTGAGCGAGGACTGGGACGATGACTTCGAGTTTGACGGTAACGAGAACGAGGACAAGGAAGCTGACAATGCATTTGCCATGGTTGTGCCCGCCTCCATCCAGGCCTCGCAGCCGAGCCTCAAGCAACATACTGGTCACATCAGAGAGTTGTCTTTGCTCGTCAATGACCTCAAACGGTTGTGTCGACTCGGTCGCGATTTGGACATGCTCAGTGGATCCAATGCCGGTGTCTGGAAGGAAGCTGAGGGGATTATCGCGCTGGCATCGCCCGACGAAGATGAGTTGGAGGGCATGGACGTGGACTCATCCTCCATTATGAGCGGCTTTGACGCTGTGTCGCCCGCTCCTATCGAAAAAGGAGACCCCTTCGACGAGGTTCACGAACTGAACGTCTCCAAGACAGCAGTTATTCGGGAGCGAACCGCCGGCCGCAGACGTTCCGTCTTCTCGCCAGACGATGACATTTTTGGCGGAAACGGCCTAATTTTGGACGAGCCTCCTCCTCCACGCCCAAAGACACCTGAGAACAATATCAACATGGGCGGTCACGATGTCACTGATATCGTCAGATCCGTCCTCGACGCCATGCAGCAGCGGTCCGTTTCTGACTCGGCACGCGATGACAAGCTCCACTTCGGCACCAACAGCCTCAAGGCTTTGGTCAAGCGCGCAGGCGATCTTCGAGACACACTGTCAGAGGTCGTGCGCCGCGCAGACCAGATCACATCGAGCCCTGCCCGGACGCCCCGTCAGCACAACGACAGTCCGGCCTTTACCCGGGTCTTTACCCCAGACCATACTCCGTCCCCGTCGAGCCCACCAAAGAAGTTGCCTCACAGCAGGAGCACGAATTCTGGGCTCGGGCGCGGATCGGTCGATGCTTCGCCATCGAGTGGCTTGCAACGGATGCAAATGATGACGGTCAGCTGAGCTCGGGGGCGCGAAGTGGGGCCTCAACATTGAAACCCCTTCAGAAGCTCCAAAGTCAGCATCTGTCACGGGTCATGTCGACCCTGTACATGTACGAATAATTGTCGATTTTTCTTGTCTGCATAGCGTCGGCTTAGGGTTTACTGGGTTCTTGGTCCTTTTCTTTTACTCGCTGCAACATACAACATAAAGACCCAGCCTCACCACTGTCCACTTGGGGGACATGCAGAATCTTTTCTACCGCGATATCTGTGGCTGGCACGAAGCCGAGTACACAGAAGCACTTTGACTCTTTTGTCTCTTCCCCCCCTACTTCTTCTGTTCCCAGCTGGATATCCCTGACGGCTTTATCATCTTCTTACAAAACGGAGAAGGCTTATGACGACATTACCACGCACCATCTCGCCAAACGAACCTGAGTGCCCAGGCAAATTCAAACGTCTGGCAACGGACAGCCATCGCTTGGTGACGGAATGGGAGGACGACGATACGGGTATGCGAATGAGGAAAGAAAGGGAATGATGAGGAATAGAATCGATAAACCACATACGATGCTCGCCGATGTTGCCACGATGAGGAGGACCACGAGCCAATCCAAAAGGTCGACCTCGCGCCGGGGCCTTATTTTCGTATTTTGATTCTTCTCGGCCGGTTCAGCTTCTGGTATTGTACAAATGGTTAGACGAACAGCAAAAGCAAAAAAAAAAAAAAAAGAAAAAAAAAAGAGAGACTGAATCAGGCTGTCGGACGACCCGTTGCTTGGATCACGGACTCGCTACCTCGTCAACAGCATTCGCACGGACTTCCAATCGGCCGTGTTACTCCTCTTCTCATGGCGGCATTCTTTCTCGCCATTTCCGATGTTTCATGATCATGAGGCGGACGGACGGGCATATACATACATGTTCACGCTCCATCGCGGCACCATTAGATTGGAGGGGGCAAATGTTCATTTCTCCGCATGAAGGACACTCTTGCCCGGATAGAGGATTTCATTTCTTCTTTTCGCATCCGCATCTCAAGGACGGTAACCCCCTCGTTATATCCTTCTCTTCGGCAAGAGAGGGATGTTTATGGACTATTACGCTACGGTTAAAATAATACATGGGTCTTGGGCAAAACGGAAATGGCATTGCGGGTTGGGGTTTCTTTTCATGAGTTTGTTTCCAGAAAAGGATGTTGGTTACATCAGGGCTTACGAGGGTAGCATGGAGGACGGTGACAGATGGCACGTGGGGATCGTACATAGGCTGATGAAAACACACCTTACTTTGGTACCTCCCAGACTTGCTGTGGCCGACCACCTGGAAAAGGCATATGAAACGCAACTGGGTGGCCCTAGGTATCCAGCGGGAGCACTGCTATTTTCAGGCACGATATGTTGAAGGGGCGGGTCTTCAACATGCATGTCCTCGCACGATACTCACTTCAACCTCGCCCCTGAAGGTTTACTTGGATGTGGCCAGCGCTTCCCCATTTACTCAATAACAGAGGGTTCGATCATCGCTTGTTCGACGGAGTGGCTGTATCAGTCATGCTGTATAGAGTTTACGATCCCACGTTCTCTTCATTTGTCGATTTCACACTCCTGGTTACGGTAATAGTACACATGAAAACAGAGACTACAAAATCCGTGGTTCTTTTCCAAGTCCTAACGCGGGCTAGCAAGTGAATGGTTGGCTCTGCTAGGAAAAGAGCTCTCTCATTAAATAGATTGTGTATGAGTGCTGTTCCCGCTAATTATTGTAACAGAGGACTTGCAATAACAGTCTGAATAAGTAGCAGGAGGGTATCCAGGAGAATTTGGGGACCTGATAGGAAGAATGCAAGTAATAAAAAAGCAAGGAGAATATGAAAACAGTTGACACTGTCGAGTGTGTGTGTGTGTGTGTGTGTTTTTGTGTGCAAGATCAATCCAAACCCCCTCGCTATGTAAAGACCTTCCCTGTTCGTACATCGTCATCATCGCTTATCTCTCCTACCCTGCTTGATCTACCTGGTATACCTCTCAAAGTTTCATCTGCCAAATCATCCAGGAAACTTGCAGCCTCCCCGGCTCACCGCTTTTAATAACGGAAGACGACTTTGGAGACTGACGGCTTGACCGCACTGTCGAGCCAGTCGCGCCCGTTACCACGGGGCGTCAAGCGTCGGAGTTCGGCGCCGTAGAAGCGGTTCCACATCATTTGACCGTTAAAGCTGACGAGCTCCGAGGGCGACGAAGCAGACAGGTCGGCCTTGGCACGGCTGACACGCAAACGGCGGGCCTCAGCGTCTTCGGCCTTCATGGGCGCGGTGTCGTGTGCGTGCAGACGGGGCTTGGTCGGCGGTATCCACATGATACCAGTGTCCTGTGGGATTTTCACCACCGGAGCAGACCAGAGAGGAACGACATGGGATGCTGAAATTGGGCTGGTGAGTCCCTCAGGCATGGAAGAGAAGGATTCTCCGGTAAGCGCTAGTGACGGGCTGAAGAAGACTGGGTTGGCGACGGCGGGATCGCAGATCGCTGTTGTTTGGACGGAACCTGCAAAGGCCGGGTGGGACTTGGCGGCATCGAAGGAGGAGGATTCTCCAGTAAGTGCTAGTGACGGGCTGAAGAAGACTGGGTTGGCGACGGCGGGATCGCAGATCGCTGTTGTTTGGACGGAACCTGCAAAGGCGGGGTGGGACTTGGCGGCGTCGAAGGAGGCCGTAATGGCTTGGTTCAGTGCCGAGGCCCATTGCGCGGGAGTGGCCTCGACGCGAACAAGGCGCGGGGACGGGATGGCCTGGATAGCCTCGTTGAGCGCGGCCTCCCACTCCGCGGGCGTGGCCTTGGTGCGGCGGAAAGGTTCCGGCCGCGGCCCTGCCTGGGCTGGGGGGGACAACTTGGTCTTGAAGGAATCCCACCAAGTAGCCTTCTTAACGGGGACATCAGGCAAAGGTTCAAAGTCTGACACGGCCTCCTCATCGTCGGATCTCGTTGATGCGGTATCCAAAGATGGTGTCGAGCGACCCAGAGAGGCCACCTCCAAAGGTGAGCCGGGCCTGGCAGTGGAGAAGGACATCCAGTTCTCGACCCGAGTCACAACAGGAGTAGGGGACCAGAGGCTTGTTGACATGAGCTGTGGCAGCTCCTCAGATGTCACTCTGGCACCCGAAGGCATGCCAAGGCCAACAGGCTCGGCCGACGTTGTCCTGAAGCAGGCACGCTTATGGCTGGTATTGAACAGGCCGGTGGACTCGGTATAGACGACGGGAGCCTGGGCGACCCACAGCGTCCTGGCAGCCCGTTGCTGCGGCTTAGTCCACATCAGACCAGTCGCCTTTGACGTTATCTTCTTTGCTAGCGGGGCCCAGAGAGCGGTGCTGTGGATGACAGCAGGCTCTGGGACACGTTCACGAACGCGCGGGGCGGCTTCCAGCTTCTCGACGTAGCTTTCCCATGTGCGAGCGTCAGGTTGCGGAAGACCTACAGCCTTACGGGAGTAGGTAGTGGCAGGCTGAGCCACCCACAGTGTCCTGGCAGCCTGCTGATGCGGCTTAGTCCACATCAGACCAGTCGTCTTTGACGTTATCTTCTTTGCTAGCGGGGCCCAGAGAGCGGTGCTGTGGATGACAGCAGGCTCTGGGACACGTTCACAAACGCGCGGGGCGGCTTCCAGCTTCTCGACGTAGCTTTCCCATGTGCGAGCGTCAGGTTGCGGAAGACCTACAGCCTTACGGGAGTAGGTAACAGCAGGCCGAGCCCACAGCATTCTGGCAGTCCGTTGGTGAGGGTTATTCCACATTGGACCGGTCGTCTTTGACGTTGTCTTCTTTGCTGGCAAGGTCCAGAGGGCGGTGCTGTGGATGACAGCAGGTTCCAGGACACACTCACGGACGCGCGGGGCGGCTTCCAGCTTCTCGACGTAGCTTTCCCATGTGCGAGCGTCAGGTTGCGGGAGACCTGTGACCTTGCGGGCGGTAGAGAAGCTCTTTGACCCGGGGGCCCAAAGAAGAGAAATTGGTTCCGGCGCGGCGGGCATGGCCGCGGCAGCGATGGTGATGACCATGCTGTCGTGCTTTGTGTCCTCGTCTGCCATGGAGGTTTCCTCCTCGGAGCCTTCGTACTCGGATTGTGAGCGCGGGGAAGAGTGCTCCTCCTCGACGAATGAGTCAGGTCGGTAGTATGCTGGCAGGGGAAGCAGGCTGTTCTTGGAAGGCACCTGGTCCGACTGCAAGAGGCTGGCGATCTCCCAGAGGGTAGTCTCGTCGAAGCCGTCGTCACTGTTGTTATCGAGTTCAATGTCGGAAACTTCGTCGTCGCCCTCCTCCTCCTCGTCGTAATCGTCAAAGAAGGACGAAGAGTACTCTGCAGACTCGAGTTGCTGTGCGCGAGCTTCCAATGCGGCACGAATTGCTGATCCACCAGTTGACATAGTACCAGGCATAGCCATCAACATATGACTGGGCCGCGGCTGGACTGTCGCAGTGTCCGACTTCTCGCCCCAGGGAAACTGGAAGATGCCGAGGGTGCCACGCTTGTCGGGAAGAGGCTGCGGGCTCTCGAGGATGTCGGGTAGGAGAGTGACGCGTTTGTTTCGCCTTGGCGGTCGCTGTGTGACGGGACGCGGCTGGGGTTTGGGAGGTTCAGGGACCCAAGAGGCACGCCATAATCCGGAGGTGGTCCGCAGCTTTTTAGCAGCGGTGTGGTCAGGCTGCCAGAGTCTCGAACTCGAGATATTGAGGGGTTCGAAGACCTTGCGCGTCGCAGGGCGGACGGATAGGCCAGGCAGGGAGTGGCCATCGCCGCTCGGGACAGACGACTTAGTCGCGACATGACGGTGTGCCGGGGCCCAAAGCAGCGACGGTTGCTCGCGCTCAAAATAAACTGGCGAGTCGGGGCTCCAGAGGCCTTCCGGTGGTGTGGCTCGCTCGCTCGGCCTGAGCCTCGCGAGTATCTGAGCGTCGTCGGGGTCGGACTCGTCGGTGTCCGGTGGGGTAGGACTGCCCAGCTGCAACGCCGTGGCGCTCAAGGGTGCCTTTGAGACAGACAAGAAATTGAGGTTTCGCTTTGCCAATAGTTCGGATGCGTTCTCCATATATTCCATCTGGGCATCTGCCAGCCGCTGTTGCCAGAGGCTAGTGCGGTTGTCGCTTGAGTTGGACTGGGACGAGATGGACGAAGCGCTTCTCAGGTCCTCGTCAGATGACTTGCTGATGACCCTCATCTGAGAGCGGCGCGCGGCTTGGCGTTCCAACGATATGTCGTTGCGCTGGGGAATCACTTGAGGCACAACGTCGATGCTGGGAACGGCTGGCGAGTTAGCCATCGCAAGCTCGCTCTGCGAGTTGCGGACCGAACTTGTTCCAACCGTGGAAAGCGAGTTGCGGCTGAGGCCGTGCTGCATCTCGTGCCACTGGCTCTCTTGCTGCCCCATCTCGGCCTCCAAGGACTCGAGCAGACGAATCCTCTGGCTTTCGCTCTCATACGAGTCCCTACTGGGCTCCTCCAGTTTCTTAAGCTGCGCCTGGATCATCTCGTACGCATGCTGCGGCGACTCCAAGGGGGAAGGCTCAGCGGCATGCATCACAATCGCCATTTTCTTGACGGGAGACCGCAACTGAAGAGGCATCGGCGGGGGCTGTCTGCGCGACTGTACTTTTTCCTTGCGCTCAGTGAAGGTGATGCTCTCATCACCAATGCGGCGATGCCAGCGAGCACGCTGGTCGGCGACGCTCACGTCAGGGAGATCGGCAGGGTTTTGGCGTGCCGGAGGAGCCTCGGTCAGGTCTATATCGTGTTCCATGGATGCGTCGAGCATAATCGTCATGACCTCCTTGCCATCATTTTGACTAATCATAGATAGGTCTCGAGGGTTTCGCTCGTCGCGTGGCTGAATCCACGTGGGCTTGGGCATGTGCGTAACGTCTTGGATGTTGACCGCAGCCACCGGCGAATGGATTGATCCCCAATTCGTCGTCGTTTCCTCGTCGCGAGTTCTCGCAGTCCTTACCTCACTGAACTCAGAAACGCTATGGTTGCGGACCGGAATGACCGGTGATGATCGCCGGTTGGCTCCGTCGTAGGACGGCTTGGCCCAGGCACTTTCGTTCGCTGGAAGGGCGGGAATCCAAGAGTCGTGCTCGTCGGGCCTGCCAGTAATGACCGACGTGTCGACACTGAACTTGGACGTGAAGCGAGGTGGTACATCCGGGAGGGCTTCTTCTTCTTCCCCCATCTCCAGAATGCTGCGAGTACGGATGGAAGTCTTGGTCGAGCGATCGGACTGCTTCGACTGATCGTGATTGCTTCTGGAATCCAATGCGCCCTTTCCCTCAGTAGCATAGTCGCCTGTTAGCATATAAGACGACGGAACAAGAGGCATCTCTGGAATCGACGTTCTAGGTTGGCCGTTCGCATCAGTGCTGCTACCAAGAGCTACGGGAAAGAAGAGGTCCATCTTCTCGTCAAAGGTCATGCTCCTGGTATCGTTGGGTAGCGCTCGTATGGGTTGGCCACCGGCACTCTTGGGCGGCGGTGGGAGAGGCGGCAGCTGAGTGGGACTTCCGGGATTCGACATCAAAATGGACCTTCTGTTCACGATGGAGCCGCCCGACTTGCTCCTCTTGTGATTAGGAGAGTTCTCGGCAGGGAAAATTGGACGGTCCTTGCCCTGCTGTCGGGGGATGGGGCGAGGTCGATGGACAACGGAATTCGAGGATTTCAGCGGTGGAGCGGGAGACTGCAGCGGCAGAGGCGTCTTGGCGGCCTGATTCGTAGCTCCTTGGATGATATTCTGCACAGCTGTGGGGTCGTTGTACTGAATGTTGTTGACGAACATGACCGTCTGCTCTTGGGGAGCAGAATGTTCCTTGGCCACGGGTTTCATTGTCATCGCTCTCGGGTTAGATGGCAGACCACCGGTTGGCCTCCGTTGCAGAGAAGCAACTGGTGGTGTCTTTGGAGATGGCGGCCTCTGCCTAGACGGCCGAATCGTTGGGTCGACTACTTTCTGGATAGGCCAAGTGGATGGGAGGTCCGGCTTCTTCGGTGACGTCAAACGAGCAGCGCTCTTGGGTGGAGGGACCAAGGCCGTTGGAGGCGACGTGGTTTGGACGGATGACGCTGTAGACTTCTGGCTCGCGGACCGATCAAGCGTGGTTTGGCTCAGGGACGTCTCTGCAGTACGTTGGCTCGCAGATCGCTCAACCTTCTCAAAGGAACTCAGGGGTTGTTCCGGTCGCGAGGGACGAGGCAGAGAGTTGCTAGACTCTGGAATCGGCTGCTGGGGCGTGGCCGATCTTGTCTCCCGGTCTTGTTGGTAGTCCTCGGGCGACTGTCTGGGAGACCTACGTCTTATCTCTTCGACCCCCGGGGATAGCTGAGCAGATGAAGTTGTTGCCGGAGGATTCGACATCAGTCCCGCGGATCTAAGCTGAGGAGGCTCCGCCGGAGCTGAGACCAATCCCACCTCCTTCCGCTTCCCACTCTGAGCTCGCCTGAGGGCCTCATCCGGGGTGATAGCGGGGGGGTTGGGAGCGGGGCGATGGGCGTTGAAAGTGCTGGAGTTTCGGTTCAACGTCAGTCCGTTGCCCCGTCTTTCCCTGTCATTCTTTGCAGCAGTGGCGAGATCAATTGTAGCGATCTTGCTGAGGGGGTTCTTTTCGCCAGTTTCCTGGAGAATTGGGTTAGAGATCGCGTTCCTCAAGTTCGAGGCTGACCCAGCCTTGTCAAAGATGCTCCTCTTATTCAAGAGGGTAGGCTTGACGTCGATTCTCCGGCTTTCTCTGACAGGAGCGGTCTGTGAACGGGTCGGTGGGAATAGCTGGCCCTGGACAGGAACTCCGCCGACCCCGATGCTGGCCTGTCCCGGAATGGATCCGGCAATGGTGGGTAGAGCGCCACCAGCACCTCCCATGAAGTCTCTCGGCTGGTTGAACGTTGTTACAGTGGTCATCGCGCCGGCCTTCAAGTCCTCGTATCGCGAGGGGGGGTAATCGGTGTCGGAGGTCGAGAGGTCTCTGCTGGAGCTAATGTTACGTGGTGACTGGGCATCTGGGTGAACAGCTTGCTTTTGGCGAGCAGGAAGCAAAGATCCAAAGTTACTCGTGAGGATAGCTACTAAGCGTTAGCCAAAAAAGAGATGTAGCAAAGCCCAAATTGCCTACGTACCAAGGAGGATCGACAGGCCAGTGGCAGGGAGAGCAGTTCTGAAGAGCAACTCCGTATCAATACCCAGAAGTAGCGGGATGCTTGTCTACGGTTGCGACATATGGTCAGTGTTCTGCAGCATCAAGTTTACGACGTATTACCCACCCCAGTCCAAAGCCCCAAGCCCACAACCGTCCACATGGCGGCCTTTTTACTTTGTACGGGCGTGATACCGATCGAGCTGGCTCTAAACGCAAGCATGGCGATTATGACGAAGTCGATGGCCACGACAACGGCTCCCATAGCCAAGAGATTGTTCCTAGCTACACAGACAGTGGAGAGCTGTGCCTTTTGGAACGCAACAAAGACGCCACCCATAACGAATCGCACACCGAGGACCGCCTGGTAGGCTACTGCGCCAGTAGGCGCGCTGGCTTTGGCGTTGATGGCCCATAACAGGAACTGTTCGATGGCGAATCGCGCCAGTTGATCGAAGACGGAGTTGAAAATTACGACGACTTGGCAACCGGAAGTCGAGGTCGGATCGAGAGTAAGGCCGATAAAGTCGATTTGAGCCCATAGGACAGAGGATACAAGGAATGTGATGAGGACCAGCCTCAGGCCGTCCCGAAATATATTTGAGCCATGGCCCTTTAGTAAAGGAAAGACGAAGGGCGTCGCGGCTTGGATGACGATCCCACTGTTTTGCTATAAGTTAGCGCAGTCGTTCCCCTCTCATCTCATGCTTCCGCGACTCTTCCTCCATCCCCCCCCCCCCCCCCTCATGTGCCCCATCCTCCCAACTATTCCCAAATTCAACGAGACATCAAGAGGGCGACTGACAAGGTAAGGGCCGCAATTAAGGCTTGGACGATTCCTGGAATGAACATTTCGTTTGTTGAGGCCGCGGGCCGGCCGGGTAGAATCGAAGGAAACCCAGTCAATGGGGGGTGGGGGAGGATGCTGGAAGACTAAAATCTTAGGAGAGAAAAGAAATCATGATGAGAATGCTCTCGCACTATGGTAGCATTCGACAATCAAGCAAAAAAGAACATAACAGGACAGATACCCCACGGAGTGGCGGATGAGATGGTATGAAAGACAGTTGGTTGGAGTTTCGATGGGTAAAGCGAGTTGGGCGACAGTTCTCTCGATCCTCTTCGGGGACGCAGGAGAGTGGAGAGAGAGAGAGAGAGACGAGCACACAGACAAAGATGGAAGAGTGTGTGTTTGCAGCAAGCGGCCTCGGGCGGCAAGACACGACGGGACAGGTGCTGATCTTGCGGCTGCGTCTGCATCTGGATCGATTGATAAGCCTGGAGGAGGCGTTACGGAAAGGGGGAGAAAAGTACAACAGCAGAAGGCCTCCTTGTTCTCGCCGCTCGTCGCCTTCACAAGGTTATTCTCGATACGATACCCTGGCCCAGCCAGATGTCACCTTGACAGGGAGCTATGGGCCAATCCCAGTGTCCCAAACGGGAAATACGTAGTCGGTGAGGAGTCCCTGGTTCCCGAAGACCAGAGGCCAAGAGAGAGCGGAAGAGAGAAAGAGACGAAATGAGCAGCTCAAACCGGCAGAGGACAGGGTGCTGTATGAGATCTCTCGATACATCGTTCATGCCGGTAAGAATCAGGGTCTTGATTGGGTCGACATGAAGCTAGCAGGGTAGAGAACCTTGTTCTATCCACCTCGACGCCGTGGCGTGCATCGACTCTGTTTCAGTGACGAAACCCACGGTGTTCGGGGTGGAGGGGTCCAGGGTCGTCGCCAGAGGTCCATCCATCAGTCTTTAGCCCCCGTCTTGTCTTGTATAATAGCTTTTCACCTCGTGCACTTGGGATTATAATATAACGTGATACCCTGTGTCGTCGGAACAGAAGCGACCATCAGAGCCTTTGTGGACCGTGGGGTCTGTCTACGCCCAGGTTTGAAAGGATGGACTCGGGCTGGGCGGCCAGAAATAACACCCTAGGCATGTTCGAGATTATTTATTGTACTTCGCTGTCATCTCCTGACAAAATAGGTCGATGGGCCGCTGAGATGCAACCTTGAGACTAATCAGCCCACCGACTTGCAACACGAGAGGAAGAGAGAGAGGTTAGGTTAGTTCGACGCCTGCTTGAGTATCTCCACAGAACCGCCCAGAGATGGACAGACTCGAGCAATCGGTAACAGTAAAGGGCAATGTGGCAGCACCGTTTGTCACTTGCCCAAAGTCTGAAGCTGATGCCGGCTCCCACAGGCGGGTTTGGATAAGAAGGTATTGACATGCAGCCACCCACTCGCATCAGACAAAGTCAAGTAGGCCAGGTAGAGAGAGCAACTGCCAATTGGACAATATTGAACTGAGGGTTGGCTTGCTCGACTCAGCGGCTGCTCCTCGACTTTTGAGAGCGCATTCTCCTGGTTCATCCTAGGGATCGAAACAAAACGTCATCGAACGCCCCGACTCCCGAAGCAGTAGTCCGCCTCTGCTGGAGTCGGTCGCTCTCCCATGGCGAAGGGGAATAAGGTAGACCCAGCTGAAGACGACAGAATCAGAGGGCGGGCACAGGCCGGTGGCGGCAGGGGTTGCTCTAAAGCAGCTCAGACTTGGTACCAAAGAGGGTGCCGCCGATTCTGGACTTCTTTCAGCCATTTGGCCAGACCAAGAAGTTTGTTCCCGAGATTTCTCAGGGGCTTCGGTAGTCTTGGCACGTCTTTTTTTGTAGGTGGTGGGGAACCGCTGACGAGGGCTTCCCTGTGACGGCGGGACAGCGGCCACGAGGAGAACCGAACGGACAGACAACTTTCTTTATCCCTTTTCTGTTCCCTCCCTCCCTCCATTTCTTTTCCTCTTCGACTCGTGCCTAGGTACGGATAAGTACGGATACGCACAAATACATAGTATAATGGTTTGCATAGTACATCGTAGTTCACGTGGCAACTCGGACCTGCACCTGCGTTTATTCTGCAACGCCCATCAGCACTGATCCAGACCCTGACTCTGATCTTTCTCATCCAACGTCTGCAGGGCACACAGACTGCTTTTTGGGGGGGGAGCTTTGACCGTACAATTGTCTTGCGTTTCGGCTACAACCGAGTCCGGCCAGAGATTGGGCTCAATCATTGGCTTCCAATCATTGTCACGTCGCGGCTCTTGGACTCTGCCTTTATTTCGCTTCTACCGCCTCTGCATGCCTATACTTTGTTTCCTAATTTGCCTCTCAACCGGGTCGCTGGTTTCCACCTCACAAGACGACGCACGTGCCGGGTGTGGGCGGCTTGCTAGCTGTAGCTGCCTCTTCTTCTGTCCCATGATAGCTTGTCTCCTACGGCCGCCTCGGCTTCAGAAGGAGCGTATGTCATGTGGCCAAGAAGTATCAAGACGGGTCCGATGGCCTCGCTGCCTGATCGACGCGGTGGTGAAGCTCGCCTGTGCCTTTATAGGTCGACGTCCTTTTCTCTTGCCTACCGAGCCTGTACCGTCTGATGGGCCGTTTGGGGACGGACTTGATCGGCGTCGGTAGTTACTGCCTACCCACCCCGTTCGATAAGCCGCCGACCTAGTATTGCTTCCCGAGTGGATGAGTGTACACTCTGAGACGACGTCAGCTATGTTGGTGCATTGATCAGCCCAATGGCACATTAGCGGGCTCTGAGCGATTGGCATGGCATGGCACCAGGTAAATGATTAGCCTTTCGCCGACTCTTCTAGATCACTAATAGCCCGAGGTGAGGAGGCAAGGCATCCGGATTCGAACACCCCTTTCCATTGCGTAATGGTATGAAATACCAGCATTCGCCTGGTCATGGGTTCTGTTCGCAGCCCGCTATGCGCCTTCGTCTGGCTGTCACTCTGCCCAGTCGGTAGTCGCTGGGTTTGTCATAACGGCATATCATGGGCGCATCACGACGAACTGTCGTCGAGTTAATGCTCTTTCGGCATGATGGAGGGGCGCCAGGTATATATACTCCATCGTACACGGTAGTTCCGCTCCGCGTTCGGCCTCTGATTTTTATTGTCAAGTCAACGTGGCAGAGCAGGTGCTGGACGAACACCCTCAAGTAGACGTCAGCGGCGGTTGGATGAATGGGCTGACTGGCTAGACCTCCTCAAACCCGTCAGGCGTGCTCCATGCCGCCTGCGGTGCTGAGCCTTCCCCGTTGGCTCAATCCGCCCCTCTCTCCATGTCGGAACCAGATTCGAAGATACATTCCAATACGGCCACTCGACCCCGTTCTCCAATGAGTCAACTCTGCGGGGGGGGGGGGCTGATAGGCGTATCTGGTCCCATCACCATCACCCTAGTGTCGACGCTTGAGCCGCCAGGGATATAGGTATATAATTTTCCTTCAGAAACAAAGAGAGAGATTGTAACGTTTCTGAGATAGTGTGAGTCCCTTGATATTTTCCTGTGAACTTGCCATCATGCCACACACCGAACGATACAGCATTGTCAACCGGTATAGCCCCCGTGGTGAGTCCGCACTCGAAGCGATGAGTGAATACATCGTCCGTTAATAACAGGTTCCCAGAGCGCCATATGCCCTCCGCACAATCCAAGCAACTATAGATACCAGTCCTGTCATTCATATCTCCTTTAACGCTCCCGGCTCTCTGTTCCCCGTCATCCTCCCTATGCTTGGGCAGATAGGCCCCTTCGCTAGCCTGTCTGCCGACGAGGACGACGCCCTCGACTTCTCCTTGCAAGGCTACGGCTTCTCTCGCATCATGAACACCTTGTGCCGATCTTCATCCGAGACCCCCGGCCCCCCCGTCTGCGTCGCAGCATCTTACCTCGACAGCCTAGTTTTGTCCTGACTCCCAACTTGTACAGCTACAACTACCGCTCCGCCGTGCACTTCGGTCACGTCTCCATAGCTGAGGAGCCGTACGAGCGACTGTGCGCCATGCGGCTCATCACCGAAGACGTCATAACCGATCGATGGGGAAACACCCGCGTACCGCCCAACCGGGCCGAGATGACATCGACGAGCGTACTAAAGGTGAGGGTTTCCGGAAAGCCCCCAGAACCCCGAGGATCCGCCGGGGGGGGGGGGGGTCCAAGAAACACGACAAGAAAAACGGCGGGGCAGTCAGGAATGTGTGGACGGGCGTTGTACCGGTATATTAGACGCTCGGGCAGCTGGCGCTGGTGCTTTTTAATCAAGTGGAGGGGGTTCCTGGTACTTGAAGGGGTTTGTTGAGGATTCAAACGGAGGGGGCAAGGGAAGCAGCTGTTGCGGCAGCGATGAAACTTCCGACCAAGTGTGATTACGACTGATGAGAAAGAGAAGCCGGAAAGCTTACTGGTGGTGATGAAGGAAGACCTACAAAACATAATTTGCATTGACGACGGGCGAGCAGAACCAGGGGGTGAGTTGTGTGATCAGAGCCTCCTTGACTCTTAAATTTGTAACTGCGAGCGGAAAAGCCATTTTAAGTCATTTGTGGATATCACAGTATATTTACAATCCTTTATGAAGTATGTACAGAGGCATTTTCCTCTCAACGACGTCGCTTTCTATACGATCGATATTCACAGCACCTCTTCCCAGAGCAAAGCACATGACTTTACCACATCTCCCAAATCTTGTCTGGCAAGACGACCCGCATTACCTCCCAGTGACCCAATGCGCTCTTCTCGTGCCACTTGGTCAGCTGCTCGGTGTTGTTATTCGTGAGAATGCCAAAGTCGCCTTCCAGGAAGTGCTTGTCGAAAACTTCGTGATAGGGCATCAGGAAGGCGCGGCGAGTACGGCTAGCGAGGAAATCATCTTCGACGGGAGCCCGGAATTTGAGCCTGCCGCTCGTCTTCTTGCAAAATATGACCATGTTGGTGAAGTCCTGACCATCCTCGGCGATCTTCTCCTTAGTGGGGTGCTCCGACTCGCGGAAGATACGACACGAAGGGAACACCTGTTTGATGGTGTCGACAATGAGCTTCGGAGCCGGGTGGAGGAAATCGCCGGCGTAATTCTGGATTTATCAGTCAACTAAGACTTACGTGGGAGAAAAGGAACTGGCAAGACTCACAATGGCAATGGCGCCATCGGGCTTAAGGAGCGAGTTGAGGCCTTGAAGGAACTCGAGTGTGAAGAGGGGAACGGGCTCGGCGCCTCCGGTGAAGACGTCGTGGACAATATAGTCGAATCTAGCATCCGGGTCATCGGCAAGCTTGCGCGTGTAGCCCACTGCATCCGCAATGATGGGGGTGTGGTTCGACGGCAGCTGGAAGTACTTGGAGGCAAACTCATGCACAGCGGGGTCAATCTCAACAATCGTCGTGTCGACGCCGTGGGCGACGAGAGCAGCTGGGGTAGTGCCGATGCCGAGACCACTTATCGACAATTAGCCCCTGGCCTACAAGGTTCGTATAGATCTACAACTTACATGTTGAGGGCCTTGGCCTCATTGTCGGGCACAGCATTTGCAGTCTTGACAAGCCGGACAGCCTCCAGCATGACGAACACGCCGTAGATTGGCTCCGCAACTCGGGGCCCTTTGTGGATAACCCACTCGCCACCAAGGAGAGAGTGGTCGCATCGCATGACCCTGTAGCCGTGTTCTTTGCTCTCAAGAACGGAGACGTATCCGGTAAGAGACTCCCTGCGGTCCAGCAGGGTCCAATTGTTAGTTTGCAGAGTGCTGTTGAGCGAAGCGGACGCCATGGGAGTCAGGGCATGCGTGTTCAGCACAGCCGTGTGCAAGGCGGCCGGAATGGCGAGGAGCAGCAGCTTGGAAGGCGCGTAGATGGAGTATGCGGCAGCGAGCAGCGCCTCGAGGCCGACTCTGGTCTGGAAGAAGGAGCTGCCGACATACGTCCGGAGGTATTCTCCCGACAGCTTCTCCATGAACTTGAAGAGCCCCCATGATCCCAAGCCAGGGCCCGCATCAGCGATGAACTTTGGTAGTTTCGAGAGGTCGGCCTTCTCCAGCTCATTTGCCACGCAGCTCACTGAGACTACAATGAGGAGGAACAAGGTGACGCTTTCTGTGAGCAAGGGACCCCAATACGCCGTGAGCACACCACTCGTCAGATACAGGTAGAACTGAATAGTCGGGACCCAGAAGGCGACCACAGGCAGCAGTTTGTCCGGGTTGAAGGGCAGTGAGCGGTTCAGGAACATATTGCCGGCCCAACCAAAGAAGCAGGCAGCCATGACGAGCTTAGCATGGTAGATGGACGACGGGATGGAGCCGTAAACAGGCGAGAGGGCCAACTGAGAGACGTTGCTGTAGACGGCGGCAAGGGCGAGTAGAATGGCCGACTTGAGGTAGGCTGAGGCCTGCTGCTGGAGAAATCGACCCCTAGTCTCGCCCTTGGCCTTGGCTGCCAGGCTCTTCAGCTCCTTTTCGAACCTCTCGGGCGTGAATCCCTCAGGGGTGGCATCCGCCCTAAGTGTTGGCTTTGGTGGCATCGCGGGCGACTGAATTGGTGACGCCGGGCGAGGTTTGGAGGATTCGTGAGCGAAACAAATGAGGATATGCGTGCGAGTGAGGGGTGGTTGTGAGTGACTGAATATACAGATGTAAATGAGGGTATGGATGATGAGCGCGTCCGGGCCCTTTGCAGAAGCCGGGGAGAGAACAAAAGATGATACAGCAGGCGAACAACAGGCAGGCTAGCGTTGCATATCTATGGTACCCAACAGCCCGCTGTTGAAGTTATGGTTTCTTTCCCTTGAAGTAGGGTAGGTAGGCAGGTAGGTAGTAGGTATAGGTATGAAAGGGCGAGAGCTGAGACTCGAAATCAGGAACAGGTCGTGTGTTGTGACTTGTCTGCTACTCCTTTTGCTGCGTTTTGAAACGTCTCCTCAGCTCATCCTTCAATTACTGCTGGCCGCCAAAAATCCCCGGGTCTTTGTGGCGTGAGCTTTGAGCTTGGTGTGGCTGAGGCGTGGCGGTGCAGTCGCACTCTTAGTTAAATTACTGCGCGGCCGGCCATTTTCCTTCCGCATCTAGGTAGGTAGATGGGTACAGGATCAACTGACGTCTCGTCTAGATAATAACGTCTGTTCTCATTATTTCGCTATCGCATAGAGAGCCTTTTGTTCCAAGCCATGCAAGATGTCATCGTTGCCTTTCGGAATGGCTTCCGTAGCCAAACCCCTCCCCCCTTTTCTCAACTGCAAGAAGACAACAAAACCAACCGCTAAAAAGGGATGCGTCACAGAACCAAGCTGTGCCATACAGGATGCCATCGTTGCCCTGCGGGATGGCTCTCTTTTCGGCCAAACCCCCTCGATTACTCTTCATACTTTGCCCAAGTAATGCAGTCCGCCTTACCCATGCATGAGGATAGCCAATGTCCCTGACTGTACAGGATGCCATCGTTTCCCTGCGGACAAGCATCCGTGTCTTTGCTTGAGCCCTGGAAGCCACGACACGATATACGTGATTACAGCTCCCCTTTATATCTTCTCTCCCTCGATAATAGGCTTGGCCTCATCGCTGGTCCACCAGCTGACGCCGGGCTTGCCGGGGTAGCTGAACTTGTCCATGCTATCGGCCTTCATCTCAACACTATAGCCAGGTTCCGTAGGGGTCTGATAATATCCGTCCTTGATGATGGACGGATTGAGGAAGTGTTCGTGGAGGTGGTCGACATATTCCAGGACAGAGAGCTTGCCGCTGACGACAACGTAGTCGATGGTGCTCAGGTGCTGGGTGTACTCGGGGAGACCGACACCACCCGAGTGAGGCACGATGGGGACGTTGTACTTCTTGGCCATCAGCAAGACGGCGAGGACTTCGTTGACACCGCCCATGCGGCATGCGTCGATCTGGCAGATGTCGATGGCTCCTGACATGAGCAGCTGCTTGAAAACGACACGGTTCTGGCACATCTCGCCGGTGGCCACGCCGATGCCGTAGGGCTTCAGAGCTTCACGGATGGCCTTGTGGCCGAGGATGTCATCGGGGGAGGTGGGCTCCTCGATGAACCAGGGCTTGAAGTCCTTGAGCTCCTTCATATACTCAATGGCTTCGGGTACAGACCAGACCTGGTTGGCGTCAACCATGAGGATGTTGCCGCTGTCGTAGCCGATGACCTCACGTGCAATGCTCAAACGTCTCTTGTCCTGCTCGACACTGCTGCCAACCTTGAGCTTGAAGTGACGATAACCCTTGCCAAGGGTCTCCTGCAGCAGGCCCTTCATCTTGTCCTCGCCATACCCAAGCCAACCGGCACTGGTGGTGTAAGCCGGGACGGCGCGGCTGTTCTCGGCGTCTTTGATGCGCTGGGCCTTGGTAGGCTCTTGTTCCTTGAGGAGCTGGATGGCCTCCTGGGGGGTGATGGCGTCGGTGATGTAGCGGAAGTCGATACAGGCAACAAACTCTTCGGGGCTCATGTCGGCAACAATGCGCCAGACGGGCTTACCGAGGACCTTGGCCCACAGGTCCCAAATGGCGTTGACAACGGAGCCGAGGGCCAGGTGGATGACGCCCTTCTCGGGGCCAATCCACCTCAGCTGGCTGTCGTTGACGAGATACCTCCAGGTCTTGCCCCAATTTGAGACAAGATCCGACAACTTCTTGCCCTTTACTCTCTCGACGAGGTAGTCAATTGCTTTACAGACGATATCGTTTCCGCGGCCGATAGTGAACGTCTGCAGAACAACACTTATTAGCGGTTACGTGCAAGACTGGATACGAAGAATGAGAAACATACCATGCCGTGCCCAGCAAACTTGGAGTCGGTCTCGAGAATGCAGTAGGCGGCGGAGTAATCGCCGGCGGCGTTCATGGCATCAGAGCCGGTCTTGTCTAGCGAAGTGGGAAAGCGCACATCGCGCGTCTGCCACCCCGTGATGGTAATGTCGAGGCTCATGATGACGGGAATGAAGGGGAAAGAACAGTTCGAACGAAGCAAGGGAATGGAGGACAAGATTTCAAGAGAAATTGAATATTGAGGGTATCTTCAAGAGGGACGAAGAGAGGACGATGCGGGATAATGGGTTCAATAGAAAGAGGCACATGAGACTTTATAGTGTCCGACGATGTATCTCCTTCCCCCACCTTTGCCAATAGCGGCATGGCCTGACCAGCGACATGCCGCAACGCTTGACGTTTCCATCTGTTGCTTGATCCCCAGTCTAGAGCTGGGCCGGAGGGGCAGTAGTATGAGATAGGTGGGAGAGGTAGGAGAGGTGGGGGACATTGGACAATGAGGGGGAGGGGCATGCGCCCGAAAGGGTCCCTTTTGGTGGAGAATTGCTCCAGACAGGAGACAACCCGGCCTAAAGACCGAGTGCCAGCGCCGGGGGTTACATAACCTAGCTGAGCGGGAGCCGGCTACGGACCCTCTGCTTCAAGGCCTATGATTGATGGAGAAATTCTTCCATCACAACGTCTAGCTCGGCCTCCACTCCGCCAAACCTCCAAAGTTAGGGTTTTTGACGATGCAATGCGAGAGAACGAGGAAGTGGTTGAGCGCTTGCTACACACAGTCAGTCTACCTCTTCCATCAGACGTATATTACTCGCATGTGCAGGAGATGTGGCACGGACTAAACATGAGCTCGTTAGGATCAATGTGTCGTAAACGTAGGGTATTTATTGTACACCTGGCATCATATCCACGAAGTCATCTCTTCAAGGCGACAAGCTCCTGCCACGTCGATTATATGTTGTAGGCGATATTTTATATAGGAACCATGTGCTCTTGTCTCACAAATATAATGGTCTGCTCCGAGGTCATGGTTTGCGAGAAGCTTGGGAGTGGACATGCTTTCTGTCTTGTGGCTTGGTGTTACTATATCTAGCTCTTGTTTGCAAGCATGTCATTCGGAGATACGGCTGCGGTGCACGACTAAGATCCGTCGGGTTCAGACTAGCCGGGAAGAAGCCTGGTGATGAAGAAAATCACCCGATCATAGATGAAGCAATGCGATGGCGGATACCGTTAGAACCGAGTTGTTCTCAACGCACCGGAAGCCAAAGCAGGGGATGTAAAGATGAGAAACACGGAAAACAAGATGGGAGCTTTGCACAGCGATGCTCAACGTCAATGAGCAGGTCCGTAAACAGCCTCTGCGAACTTCTAGTAGAGCCAGTGAGACTCAGCATACTGGACAACATCTACAGCAACAAACAGTTTGTCCTTGTTATCATGAGCTCATCGCCATGAAAGTATCACGCACCTACATGGCGCCTGTTCACTTTCCATTGCTTGGACAACATGTTCTTGAGACGGCGGGTTGACGCCTGGTGTGAGATGGGGGTTTAGACGCTTGCGAGCGGATTCGAGCAGTTCGACGACTTCCCCGAGGCCGCCCGACCGTGCCACTTGCTCGACCGAGACCTCAAAGTACCGACGGGCCCCCCTCCGAAATAATACCGCCCGGCCGCATGAGTCGGTGTGGTAAGATGCCAGGTAATCCTCCAAAACCGTTTCGTTTTCGGACGAGGTGGCCCAAGAACGATCAGCCGGGGCTGGCCACGGCTTCTCGGCGTCGCTCAAATGGACTGGATCGACGACGACATAGAGAGTGCGAAGGGCACGGGAGCCCCACAGGGTGAGCAGGCCGTTAAGAGCTTCCGAGTAGTAGAAAGCACCACGGCCGTCTGATGCGCTAGTTCGATTTGGGCCGGGCCAGGCGAGGGCCAGCAGTCGCAAGGGAGTTGGCAGCTGGAGACGGAATACACTGCTCGTGCTAATCAGACGGCACGGCCACTGCCACCCGGTGTCAAGAATGAGCAGATCGTTGGCGGCGTCGATTTCCATGTGGTAGGGAACAGAGGGATCCTGACCTCGGAGAAGGAAAGGACGGGAAGGCTTGATGGAGCTGTAAGCACGTGTTGCGACGGCGAAGGAGCGACGACAGGTGACAAGCATGCCAGACAGAGTGGCTATGACGCAGTCGCGATCGGCCAGATTCGGGTTGGAATCGGGTGGAAGGCGGTAGAGAAGAACTCTGTCTTTTACATTATAACTGTCGATGGAGCCGTCGAGAGCACGACCCATTGGTTGACGGACGAGTCTCGCATGGAACGCCGTGGGAGCGGGCGGGGGTATGGCAGCCTCCCAAACCTTGTCCTGTAGCTCCAGAGGGAGGTGCAGAAAACAAGTGAAGCCAACCATGGCGGATGAGGTATTGCGGTGTGTCGAGAGCGACATCGTCGCTCGCCGACCCTGGCCGAGGCGGAGAAGTCGGCATAGAGCGTGGCGAACAAAGCACGGACGGGCAAGGTGTTGTTGAAAGCCCGGAGTCCGGCCGGGGATATATGACAGAGGGCGGTAGTGAGATAGGGATATAGGATGTTGTCGTCAATCAATGTTGGTGCCGGTGACAGCGCCCGTCCTTGATGACGACAACCAGGTGACTGAAGACGTGGACCACGAGCTGAAGAATCGGAATGAAGAAAAGAGAAGTGAGTCAGCCAGCCAGCCAGCTAGAGGTCACGTACGCTGTAGGTACCTAGGTAAGTAGTGAAGGGTGGGAGGGGAGGTATTCTTGTGAGTTGATCGGCTCATCATGGCCACTGTACGGAGTAGTGAGGCATGAGAGGAAAGCACGGGACAAGGGTCCAATGATGACATCAGCCAATCGTGTCCTTTCCGCCATTCCTGGCAAGCCCACTAGATCACCTACCAGGTAGGTACCTGCCTGTATGTACGATGTACAGTACTATGCACTCGTTGTACAGCCCCCATCTGGCTCCACTGCACACCCAAAACACAGCCAGGAAATGCCGTGCTCTACCACCTAGAAAACGGGCCATCGCGGGGGAAAGCGGGGCACGCTGGATCGCCGGAATATCAACGGGAACGGGCATTATCAAATGACAATCATGCCCGAAAGACAGTGGCAATGGGCGGTACCTTGGGGCAACGATTCCCACAACCGTCTTCATATTGGGGCTGATATACGCGTCTTTGGCAGATGAAAACCTAATCGTAGATCCCTCCAATTTCACCACCTTAGCCACTCCTTATCTGGTCCTGACTTCCCACCCGATTCCGAACCAGCCCAACCAACCCGTAGATTGCATCCTTGGGGGAGCGCGAGTCGACATTGGAGATACGATCCTTGTTCACGGTCCGGATGCTTACCACCATAACCGCCCGCCAATACATCCCTGACCGGGTCTGAGCTTCGTCCGCCGCCCTCCACCGTGATGATGACGCGGGGGTGCAAGGATGCACTCGGCTTCTTATCCTGCCCACCCATGCATTTGTCTGCTTTCTGGACCACAATGCTAGACTACCCACCTAGGGAGTTTACATTTTAGTTTACGAGTACGTTCATGTACCCTTACTCAAGGTTGACACCAACAGTCTGTCCATGTGCACAGAGGAAAACGCATACAATCGCATCCCTGCCGAGCCCGACGGGTTCTCTGTATCGAGCCACCCGTATGCGCTGTCCACCTCACATCACTCTGAACTTACCTAGCCTTGACCTGGCTCCCACTCGGGACTGAACTAATTACCACCTAGAGTACGCCGCAGGAAAACCAGGCATCTCTAGCTACCTACCCTTCCCCGAGGAACATGCCTACGTACCTCATCCCGGCATGCCCTCCAATGACTGCATCTCTTGGAGAGTCAAATCCTGTTTCGAGCCCAGTCCACTTGGACTTCCCACGACTCAATCTTTTAGTTTGGTTTTAAACTATTTACATGCATATATCCTGCTGTCCGTACGTGTGGGTGCCTGCCCTGACTTTCCCGGAGTATATCATCTCTCCCTCTCGCTATCCCCTAACGCCCGCAAGCGAATCTGTGCATACATGGAACGAGGCATTCCTGTCTGTACCTTTTTGACTCTTCATCCGTGGTCATCATTTGCTTGCCCGATAGAATCACGAGTCACGCCAGCAAAGATTAGTCAACACATATACGACACATGTAAAACCCCGATGTGTTTATTTACTGCCTTGTAGCGACTGCGCACCTCACAAAAGCTTGTCACCATAGGTATCGGCCTGCTCTCGATTTCCGTCGATTTAATCTCCCCGTACTCTCAACCTTGGAAACATGGATCCTTCACGCGGGCCTTCGCCGGTATCGCCAGCCGCCAGCCCAACCAAGCCCCTAGAGCCTTCTCATCGCCTGCGACGCAAGTTACAGAAAACATTTCCCAAACAGAGGTTCCTATCCATCCGACGTCCCGCACCTATCGACCCGTCCGTGCCAAACAAACCTAATACCGGGGTGGCAGTGACTGTCCAACAAGCCGGACCAGTCGGCCAACCTTCATTGCGCCTGTCACCAGACCTCAGCGATGCCAAATGGCACCAATACTTAGGAGAAAGCAACGCAGTGCAAGATACTACGGGCACACCTAGAACGCCCGATAAACCCACAAAGGTTTCCTTCGACACGTCCAGCTCGACCTTCGTTCCAGAGTTCTCTCACCTTGCCGTCACCAGCGCAGCCCGTCGGCCCTCTCTCGACAGCTCACTCAGCTCGCCAACCTCGTCGATAAGCACGAGATCCAGCATGAGACGTCGCGCCAAGACTCCCATCTACGCTATCGGCCAGCTCGAGAGCCCCAAATTCGGTAGGGATTCGACGGTTGCCGACAAGGTGTCAAGCGTCGATCTCATTGCCGACCAGTACACGGCGCTCCTCGAAACACAGGACAACAGCTCAGTAAATACAGACGCCCGATCCGACCCTCTCCCCTCGCGGCAATCCTCACACAGGCGGTCTTCTCTTTCACAGTATCACTACAGTGTTGGAGAGACACCTGCAAAGTTGCGGCCAGATGTCTACAGGCCGGCACCGATACGCAACGTCCCGGTATATTCCCCGAAATCCGGCGACGGCACTTTGGTTGCCTTTGACGAAGAGGCGATATACTTCAAGCCAATGTCCTTTTCGCCAGAGTTCCCATCCACGCAGTCACCGCCGTCGCCACCACCGCCGCCGCCGCCGCCGCGAAATCGGGCCCGACTGCAGCCCAACTCTTCATCCCAAGCATCATCGTCGAACCACAACCTAAGCTTGCAGATTGCCACGGACCTGCTGACCCGCGAGCTATCAGCAACCATGTTGGACATGTCGAAGCAGACGGAGACGGATATGTCATCTCTCCAAGTCTGGGTCATGATCGAAGCATATGAGAGACTGAGGGACCGGGTCATGGAGACGACGGAACAGCAGAGCGAAGACGCCAAGAATATGGAGGCCATGTTTGATACTTGGCTAAGAGCACTGTACAACATGCACGATAAGATGACCAGTGACGCGGCATCCTGCGGGAGCCATTACGATGAAGCTGGGCTGGGGATGGAGGATTTCGACTGACGGCACCAGCTGACTTTGATATCCATGGAATGTTGATGAAGGCGTTCAAACGAGCTTTGGGCTTGTGAGGCTACCTAGGTAGGTAGATCGAGGAGACAGCAATGTCAATGTCAGCGCCAGCCCCACGAAGGCATCGGCCACCACAGCTTAGAGAGGAACAACTAAAGAAGTAAAATAAGAATAAATTAGGGGTTGTCAAATAAACGGGATCAGGCTCTCTTTCTTCCATCGACGTTCTGGCTTCTGTCGGAATGCAGTGCGGCTTTTGAACAAACCCCGCGGTCGAAGCCGCCGGTTAACCCAGCACGGCGGGCGCCTTCTCCACTACCAGGTACCTATGTACCTAGATAGGCAGGTACATAGGTACCCAAGTACCTGAATTGGAGTTTCCTTCCACCACTGCCACTGGCCACTGGCGCGCGTGCATTCTCTCTTGTCCTCTCCAACATCGTTATTGCAACCGGACTTGCCATCCTCGCATATCGGCCCGGTTGCAAGGACATAATTGCCACTCGCCTTCTTCGCCAACAACCCACCCCTTCACTGATATCCTATTGCATACAACCATGGACGACGAATTTGGTGCCGACGAAGACTTCCTAGCAGCCCTCGCTTCATCGAATCCGGTCCCCACACGCCCCCAGACTCAACCGCCTCGTCCTCGCCTTCAGCAGCCAACCCCCCAGAAAATACAGCAACCGACACCGCAGCGGTTAGATAAAGCGCCGCCTACGAATGCTTCGTCCCGCGGCAAAGTCGTTCAGCCGACGCCGCAAGCTCTTCCTCAGCGAGGATCTGGATCTGCCATTCTCGTGTCCCCTCGCCAAAGGGGCAACCCAGTGCTTGCTTCGTTGAAGTCGATGCCATGGGAATACAGTGATATTGTGGCCGATTACAGTCTTGGCCTGACAACATGTGCGTTGTTTCTGAGGTCAGTCGGCTCCTGTCGCCGGTTTCTTTACGCCGCTAGCTTGCTAACAGATGATCGTGTCAAGCCTCAAATACCACCGCCTCCATCCCGAGTACATCTACACGCGAATCCGAAACTTGCAAGGCAAATACAACCTGCGCATCATGTTGACCATGGTTGACATACCAAACCACGAAGAGGTACTGCGCGAGCTGTCCAAAACATCATTGGTCAACAATGTCACCATCATCCTCTGTTGGTCGGCTGCCGAGGCCGCGCGTTACCTTGAACTTTACAAGTCGTATGAGCACGCCAATTTCAGCGCTATTCGCGGCCAACAAGCGTCGACGTATGCTGAAAAGCTTGTCGAATTCGTCACCGTTCCCAGGAGCGTTAACAAGTCAGATGCGGTCGCATTGGTCAGCAACTTTGGCAGCTTGAAGAACGCCATCAATGCAGATCCCGAACAGATCGGTATCATTGCCGGATGGGGGGCTATCAAGGTTAACAAATGGGCCAGGGCTGTTGAGGAGCCCTTCCGAGCCAAGAAATCCGCAAAACGACAGTTGGATCGGACGGAAAACGCCGAGGGCGGAAGACCGGCTCGGACAGCGAAGCTGGATCAAGCCGTGCCTCTCAGCAGAGTCCCGCTACGTGAAATGGAATCGATTAGAGGGACCTCACAAGGTTCACCAGTAATTGACAGGCCAGCTAGTAGCCAGGGGAAGTTGGAAAGGGGCAATCCTAACTTGGACGATGAAGAAGAAATGATTGCTGCTGCCATTAAAGAATCGAAACGGACAGCCGCGGTATACACAGTTGCACGAACACAGACACAGGTACAAGCGGGAGAAGCAGACGACGAAGGCCCAAAGGGTGATTCACTTCCAGGCGGAGTTGCTGCAGCACTCGCAAAGTTGCGGGAGCAGGGCTAAATCGTCCCTTGTATGAGATTGCACTGCATAAACGAAAGGGCCTGGTTCAGTCTTGGCAATATATAGGCCGAAGCTAAATCGACTTTTGCAAAGTTGATTCGCCTCTCGAAACAGCCTCGCGCATATCGCATTCTCCGGGTGTTGCGAAGCTAGCTTGCTTGCAATTCAAAAACCAAAGGCTCTTTACTGGGCCTGGTGTCGTCTGTTTTGGCTGATGCATGATCACGGCACAGAATAGGCAGAGAAATCGGATCGAAGGATGAACTAAACTTTCCGATTCTCGAAGATACCCTTGACCATGGTCAAACCATTCCACATCAAACCGGCGAGGGCTCTGGAAGGCTATATTAGACTGATCGCCCAGTCGGGCAGAGGACATAAAGTCAGTAGCTGCGGCATGTCGTCTTCGCTGCAATCTGGGTGACATGCCGCACTATTCTCACGTTCTCCTCATGCTCGTAGCATGATGAAGTGCGGGAGGGTGGATAGGGGCATTGCTGCAGGTGCAGAATTTGATTCGAGTCGAGAGTCGGAGATGATGATCGTCACGCACGCAGTTCTGTCTCTACAATGAGACCCTTCTGACCCTGTCAAGTGGCCTACCGTAGGTTTGGTTGATGAGACGGCGGATATTAGTCCTGGCACCACGCCATTTCTCATCCTGCATGCATTCGCAATGTACGACACACCACGGCCTGTGGGTGAGGTTGTTGAAGCGCGTCGCAAAACAGGGCAGCGAAGCCGAGCATGCAGGGCCTCCGACACCCAGTGGTTGGCAGTCCCGGTCCGGCCATCTGACCGGGATGCAGTCTTTTAACCCGCCGGCACCAAGGATGAAGGCCGCAACCGACTGTCACCAGGTGGAGGATGAACTTGGTCAACAGCACTCGGAGGCTCGGGTAGCTTGCATTCACACCCTAGGTATGCAACGCAACGCTGCGTTTAAACTTTGGGTAACACCAATAAGGCCCCTCCCTCAAAGGCTTCTCCGCACGTGCTTGGCTCATCAGGCACGGACGTGCCTGGTGACTTTCCCACTGCCAAGTGCGCGACGAACTCGGGAAGATCTGCCCTGCTCGTGTTGATGTCAGTCATTACGGCAACCGACGGATATCGCCCGCGTGACAGACAGTCAGTCGCTCTCCGCTTGGTTACATTGCAGCCTTACCGAAGTGCAGCCACCCCTGGATGCGCTTGCCGCAAGAGAATGTCTGGCTTGTTCGTCTAGTCCTAGCTGCACCGCAGTCATCTGGTGAGGGTGTTATTGGATGGAACAGCAGGGACCAGAAGCCGGAGATGAGAAAGGGGGGCCGCAGCGGTGAATAGCGCATACTGAACAGTAGACAAGAAAGCACGAGCGGCCGCAGGCGCCAAAGCAGAAGCAGGCGGAAGGCAGGAGAAAAGCAGGGGTGTGGTAGAAGGCCTAAGCATGAGACAAGAGCAAGGCCGAACCCGGAGTCGAATGGGCAAATTGGCTTTCCATCCGATGCCGTGGTGCCTGCTCACACTCCAATCTCTGTCTGATAGTCTACCTAGTCAACTGGTCCCTGGGGGGTTGCATCAATACGCCAACCAGTTCCATATATCATACTTTCGTGTATCTCGGCAATCCCGTCCGGGATTCGCTCGCATACACATCCACGCACACATATATATATCCATACGTCTTTGGCTTTCAACCTTGTGTCGCTTTCACCAGCATCTCCTCCAACACAGGGGCTCTCAGTTTACGACACGATGCGTATTTCAGGACGTGCGTTGGCTGTCGCTGGGCTTGTCATCCAGGCGTACGCCTCGCCTCAAACCACGGAATCGGTCGCTGCCCCAAATTATGTTAACCAGCCGGAGAGAGCCAACGCCGTAAAGGAGGCTTTCCAGCGCTCGTGGGATGGGTACCGAAAGTTTGCGTTTCCAAACGATACCCTGTTGCCCGTGTCGAAATCGTCCGACAATGACAGGTAAGTCATCAGAGGTCCTGCTCCAGAGCGAAATGAAGACGGAATTTGCTAACATGCGTCTCTAGAAACGGCTGGGGCGCCAGCGCAGTGGACGCCTTGAGCACTGCCATCATCATGGAGAACAAGGACGTTGTCGGCCAAATATTGAATTTCGTGCCCAACATCAACTTTGACGTAACAGATAGCGAGGTTTCTGTGTTTGAAACAACCATCCGATACTTGGGAGGCTTATTAGCTGGTGAGAATGGTCATCTTCCGACTGGTATGATGTGAATACTAAGGCTACTGCCGGACAGGACATGACTTATTGAAAGGGCCGCTTAAAGACGTTGCAGATAACATCACCGGCGTGGATGCGCTGCTCACCCAGGCAAAGCGGCTCGCAGATAACCTTAAAGTTGCTTTCGATACTCCCACTGGAGTGCCGGACAACACTCTTGTATACGATCCGAAGCCGCGCAGAAATGGCTCGGAAACAAACAGCATCGCCACCATCGGAACTTTGGTGCTCGAGTGGACTCGTCTGAGCGATCTTACCGGGGACAAGCAATACGGTGAACTGTCACAAAAAGGTGAAGACTTTCTTCTGAAGCCCAACGAAGAGGTGTTCCCTGGTCTGCTGGGATCGGATGTCTTCATTGCCAATGGCACGTTTGCAAACCGCTTTGGTGGCTGGAACGGAGGAACTGACAGCTTTTACGAATACCTCATCAAGATGTGGGTCTACGATCAAGACCGTTTCTCTCTCTACAGAGACCGATGGGTTGCAGCTGCCGACTCTTCAATCAAGTTTCTCGCGTCAAGCCCAACGACACGACCTGACCTGACCTTCCTGGCCGCCTACAACAACGCGAATCTGAGGTTTATCAGCACCCATCGTGAGTTCATGATGTTACCCGTCGTACCGCACAAGAGCTGACTGTAAGCCAAGTGGCATGTTTTGATGGCGGCAACTTCATTCTAGGCGGTCTTGTGCTCAAGGAGAAAAAGTACGTAGACTTCGGCCTCAATCTGACCGCGGCTTGCCGTGAGACGTATAAGCAGACAGCAACTGGAATTGGCCCAGAAATATTCCGCTGGCAAGATGACCGGCCGCCAGTCAACAAGACCCTAAACCCCGACCCGCCCGCCAACCAGACCGAGTTCTACCAGCGTGCTGGTTTCTGGATCACGAACGGCGGGTCAGGTTACGTTCTCCGCCCTGAGGTCATTGAGAGTTACTACTATGCATATCGCGCGACGGGCGACACCAAGTATCAGGATTGGGCGTGGGACGCCTTCCTGGCCATCAACAAGACCTGTAATGTCGGCGATGGCTTCTCGGGCATCGCAGACGTCAACAATCCCAAGGGTGGGATGCCCGACGACTTTCAGGAGAGCTTCTGGTTCGCGGAGGTGCTCAAGTACAGCTACTTGATCCAGGCCACGGACGCCAAGGTCCAGGTCGAAGTTGCGGACAACAAGTGGGTGTTCAACACCGAAGCGCATCCGTTTCGAGTAGGGTAGTGCGGAGATTGGGTCACTGAGCAGGGGTATGGTAAGCGTACATAATCAGTGAGATGGGAGTTGTATTGCTAGCCGGTATAACCATCGTGTATCAATACGGTGGGACCCCCTTTGCCTAACGTGGAATTGGTGTTTGTGTCTGTCAACGTGCACCTTACGAGCCACCATCTCTCTTGGCATACTCCTCTTCTATTGCTTCCTCGTAAAGCCGGTCGGCCTCAAGCTCGGCTTCCGTCTTTGGGCGGGTCGTACCGGCTCCAGTGTCCCCGCCGGCGCCGGTGGCTTGCTCCGTTTGTGAGTGGCTCTGGTCATTGGTGGGTTGAGTGTTTTGTGCTCGGGCATGTTCGTCTTCAGGGACTTTCGGGACGCCGAGCTTGATAGGCTGGCCCATGTTGGCAATGCAGCGAAGATAAGTGAGCGAGATGTGAGTTGGGAAGAGCCTTTGCAGCAGCAGCGGCTTCACAAGAGGGAACGATGCGATGTGAGAGAAGTGGCTGAAGATGAAGACGGAGCTGGTGCAGGGCCAAGCCGTGAGTATTTATGTAGGTTCGTCGCGGTTAAGTGGCAATGGCAAATGGTCGAAGTGGTCGGGCCCAGGTGGCTGCCAGCGAGGACTTGTGAATTTGTGTGGCGAATATGAGGGTATAATGGTTCTCAGCAGTTCAGCTGACCGTGCCTACCCAGAACCCCCGCAAATCTCGCAGCGCAGTTCGGATCCGAGATTGTGGCGAACCGATCCGCCTCATCGGCTCCGGGGCTAACGAGACTGGATACGTTACGTGATCTCCAGTCTTGCGAACCCATGCATAATACTTCGTAAGGGTGGAAGAAACCATTCAGTAGCAAGACACTGCGGACACGGTTCCAATGCTCATGTCAAGCGTGGCACCCCCATCCATCTAGACATTCTTGGCCGGTGTTGCTGGGGAAAGTGTGTGGAACGGGAAAGCGCCATTTCTGCAGTATCAAGAGTCGGGCGGTGTGCTCGAGAACTGCCGCCCATGCCACGATCAGAAACACAGGAGCTATTCGGTCGAGTGTACGTTAGTGTGATGCCAAGGCTGTTTTTATGTTCTCTCTCTCTCTCTCCCTCTCTCTCTCTCTCTCTCTCTACTTCCTCATAGCGGTGTCGTTCCTTTGGCATCTCGGGCGATGATGAGTAGCACCAGCGCTCCAGAGCGTACATGTGCTGTGACGCCTCGCCGTTGAGCTTGCGGGGGGCCGCGAACACCGACAGTGCTGCACCAGCAAACGCAAGGATGCTATGGGCGGTTGCACACACCTAGTTCAGAGCAGGCAGGCCAATCGATGTTTATTGAATGGTCGAAGAATGGCGTTGCGCTACAGGAAATAGTTTCTTGGGCAACATCATGATTGGTTCCCCAGAGGAGTATGAGCCTGTACCTTGTGGGAGCTTTCCGCTGCATCGGAGGCAGCACTCAGAGGAAACGCCTACCGCCTTCCATGCGTCGTGATTCAGCAACGCGCTTGCTCGTCTGGTGACCCGAAACCGCAAGTGGCCAGTCAGTGCTGCATTGAAATCCACTACACCGTGCCGAGAACCGAGCGGAATTCGATGCTTTGGTCAGTGAGATGAGTGGTACGATTGGGATTCTCCCCATCCTCTAGTCTTGTTTTATATCTTTGCCAAAAGCGTTTGGGTGGCAGCGAGAAATAACCCCGGAAGGCTCAACTATCATACCCGCCATGTCGGACGGTGAACACGGGACCAATCACCGGCGACCCTCGAGACCGTCTTGGACCCGAAAGAGGCAAGTTGATGGAAGATTCCTGAGTTTGCCCTATACCGTACTCTGACCTGTGCTCTTCTCAATCCCGAGCTCTGTGACCCCCCCAACCGGCCGGGGGGGTGTCGCCCGAACCAATGGTAGGCCTTGGAGATGCTGTTTTACTCCGAGATTGACCAATGACGGTCGCGGTAATGCTGATTACTCGTCCGAAGTGTAACGCGGGACCGCAAGGTGACCCAGGACCCCCACAAGCCTGCAGACGATGACAGGCAGGCAAGCTTCGAACTGGGCCCTTGCCATGGGTAGCTACCCGTCAACGGGCGAACGAGAGAAAAGTAAAGCGCCAGAAGAGAGGAGCTTGGCCCTTCTAGACCGCTGCTCCCTGGGGGCTTTGCAAGGTTTCGATCTGCTCCTCCGTTGCCCAGTTTGTGTTGTGAGTCTACCAGGTTTTATTTTTTATTTTACAAGTCACAAGAAAGGGAAAACCCAAAACCTTTGTGGAATTTTAAAGTGTTGGAGGGCCGCTCTTACACTGGAATGCCTATACCGCGTATCTCATCTTCCTTCCACACACGCGCACACACATAATTTCACTCTCCCTCTCTCTCTCCCTCTCTCTCTCACCCACTCTTTCTCTCCTCTACCTCTGGCTTTCATCACCAAGGTAGTAATACCAAATAAATAAACAACTGAATACCCCGGACTCGATCTTGCAGTCTTCCATCTGTGTCACCTCAGTAGGGGGGAAAGGCAAAGATCCCTCTCCCTTCACAGAACTTTCAACAACTTCTTTTCATCTTTTCATCTTTTCATCTTTTCATCTTTTCATCTTTTCATCTTTTCATCTTTTCATCTTTTCATCTTTTCATCTTTTCATCTTTTCATCTTTTCATCTTTTCATCTTTTGACTCTTTTGGCCCTTTTACTTGGTCAGGGAAGAGAGATATCATACTCTCCGTCTCAGGTTCCGGGTCACCCTCGACTGACGCTCAACACATAGAGCGTGTATCACCAACTCTAGTGGCAGAGGAAGTTGTTACCTTGCAACAAGAAAACATGGGCCTCGTCACATTAAAAAACCTCCTCTTCGGTCGCACGCCGCCCCCCGCCCGGTCCAAGACCGCCAGCGCTACCAACGAGCGCGCTGAAAGCACGATGTCGGATGAGACCATCATTGACGGCGGCGAGCTTGAGAGGCAACCCCTGCTGGGGCCCGGGGCCCGGACAGCGTCGACGGCGACCATGGCGACGACGACCTCGGAAACCTCTTCCACCTCAACAGTGTCTCCCGAGAGCGAGTCTCGTCGCTTCCGCTTCGACGCCCGCATCATCTCCGACGCTACAATTGGACTTTCAGACGGCCTGACAGTACCCTTCGCCCTCACGGCTGGGCTGTCTGCCCTGGGGCAGACAAAGGTCGTTGTCTTTGGTGGCATGGCTGAGTTGATTGCTGGGGCGATATCCATGGGTCTGGGCGGTTACCTCGGAGCCAAGAGCGAAGCGTAAGGCCCCTCTTCCTCGGGTCCCCTTTCTCATTCTCCTCGTCACTAACACACATCGCAGCGCCTCGTACAAGGAAACCCGCAACGAGTGCACCCGTCTGACCCGCGAGGACCCGGCTCTCGCCCGCGCCCAGGTCTTCGAGGTCCTCGAGCTCTACGGTTTGCCAAAGCATACCCTCGAAGAGGTAACGGACCACCTTTCCATGTCGCCCCGCCTCATCGACTTCCTCATGCATTTCCACCACTGCGAGCAGGAGCCCGCCTCGAACCGCGCCTTCGTCTCCGCCTTGACCATTGCTGCGGGCTACTTGCTCGGTGGCCTAGTGCCGCTGTTCCCATACTTCTTCGTCCCCGCCGAGGACGTCTATCTCGCGCTCTACATCTCCGTCGCCGTCATGGCCGTTGCGCTGTTCGCATTTGGCTACGTCAAGACGTGCATCGTCTCAGGCTGGTCGGGCGTGCGGTGCGTGAGACAAGCTGTCGTCGGTGGGCTAGAGATGATTATCGTTGGTGGTGCTGCGGCCGGTGCGGCCATGGGCCTGGTGAAAGCCTTTGATCAGCTGGCGCAATCTGAGGATATGTCGGCATTGAAGAGCACGATATTCTGATATTTCTTTACCTACCTACCTACCCCCCCCCCCCCCCCCCCTTTTTTTTTTTTTTTTTTTACCATGAAAAGTACTGCACACTTCCCCTTCTATTTTTTCTGCTTTCAGAATGCTATGCATTAGCATGTATACCGAATCGGGTCCCCTGAATTGGAACACCCAGTTGAAACCCCGGCTGGAAAAATGTTGAGGGATTCTCCCATGTTTGCATTATATGGCGTTTACGCGGAACGAGGTCCTTAATCATGGTCACCTGGGGATATAAGATGGATGACGGTTGGCAGGGACGCCGAATTGGCATTGGTGTAAGAGTCGTTCGACTAAACTAAAAGAATCTAAAAGCCAGGCACTGCCATGTGAGAACAATAATTACAGAACACTACTCTGTTAATATACTCGGGGTTGTCTCTGTGATATGTCGCCCATTATGCATTCTTAGTGTGAACCATGATGATAATTCAAACGCTCGACTGGTAGCTAGGTCCCCTGAGTCCGATATCTTCCTTGACAGGTATATGGAGCGCTGTATGCATCGCTGAAAATATCAGAGTCGAATCTTCTGGTTTGCAACTTGCCACTTGATTCTGTGTGTTAGGGAGTTAGAAGACAGCTGATGCTGTCTCGAGTTGAATGAAACCGTTCGCACCTTAAAATCACTGGGAATCACTTGTGCGTCACAATGCTGATAAGGGAGAAGCCCTGTTGGAAGTTTGCGAAAGCGACGGTCGACTTCTGTGAGATGAAGATTGGTTGAAAGGGCATTGTATGGATCGACTCTGTCTATGGTATATAGGATCCGTTTTCCAACCCAGAAATGCCGACGCTATTATTTAAACATCACCCCCAGTGGTATCACTTACCAACATTAGAACTCCCTGCTCTCCCCAATATCGCAAACATCAAACACGCCCGTCGGCGGAAGCCCCTTGCGTTTCATGGCATTCTGCAGGAGCTTCGGCGGCTCCAAGACCTCTTCCAGGGTTAGCGCCCACGTGCCCCAGTGGATACCCATGGCGCGCTCGCACCTTGTATCCTGGAATATCTCGACAGAATCAAAGGGATTTGCGTGCATTCCCGAGAAGGCCACACGAGGATAATATGCGCCGATGGGAATCAGGCCGAGGTCGAAAGGCCCGCGCAGGTCGCCGATCTGCTTGAACTGCGGACAGATGGGCAGGTGGGCGTACTCTGGGCCGTAGTCATCCACGTCGAGTGGGACCCGTGGCACGGCGCGGTATCCAGTGTCGCCGCCAAACCAGACCGACTTCCCAGCAGACTTGACACCCCACGAGGCCCACAGGGTGGTGTCCTTGTCGAACGGTGTGCGTGCGGAGGTGTGTTGGCTGGGGAGACAAGAAATCTGGGCGGAGATGGTCTCGGGGACATGGTCGACGCCCTTGTCCACGATCAGAGAGATCTCGGCGTCCTCCCACCAGTCGAGCTCGGTTACATTTCTCAAGCCAGCATTCCTAAACCACGTCTCAAGGCCTAGACCGACGAAGAAGTGGGCCTTTGGGTTGTGCTTCTGGATGGTGAGGACGGACTGGTGGGACAGGTGGTCGTAGTGGCTGTGGCTGATGAGGACGGCGTCGACAAATGGGATGTCAACGAGATCGCAGGGCTTTGAGGTGTATCGCTTGGGACCCATGAAGGATAAGGGCGAGCAACGATCCTCGAAGACGGGGTCGAAGAGCACGCGCAGGCCCGAAGGGAACTCAACGTAGTAGCAGGCGTGGCCGAGCCAGGTTGCGCGTAGCTTATTGGAGGCGGTGCGGGTAGGGAGGAAGTCGGGCTTGATGACTTTGACAGTCGGCGGCGAGGTGTCAGGGGACTTTAGGTCGCCGATCAACCGGGGCCTGCATAGGGCAGATTTCGCGTTAGTGGCCGGGCTTGATCGGCATCTTGTGGCCGGGGCCGGCAGGGCCAGTGCGGTGATACATACCAGACGACAAGTCGCAAGAGTTGGGGAGGGCCAACACTATCGCCATAAGAAGGGTGCAAGTTTTTGAAGCCAACGGTGTTGCCATGCTTCTTGACGTGATGCGGCTTGGAGGATGCGTCACGGGGCGCGGGGCCTAGGTCCGGGGTCTTAGTGACGGTGGTCGTGTATGAAGCCATTGATAGGGCGCAGAGGGAGGCCGGAGTAGTCGAAGCTGTTCGAGCACCAGGGAGTTTGGGTGGTTGTTGGAAAAAGGTACGAAAAAACTGCCTGAACCTGAACATGATTCTTCCTTGGAGCTGGCGTAGAGGGAGTCGGAGGGAGTGACGAGATATATGGACAGACGGAGTTCTCTGAAAGTGAAGGTAGATTGAGCTTTGCTGCTTCTCAGGTACCCGGCGTCAGATAAGCATGGATCAATGACGCTGGTCAGCCACGACAGCGCCTGTTGGTGGAGTTATCGGACATAAAGTGCTGCAGACGAATTGTCCGTACCAGGGAGTCCGGCTCGTCCTTCTTTACCTAGATACCTTGCTTGATACAGCCCTCACTCTCACATACAATGAGGTTAATTGTCCTAATTGGTCCATCAGCAATCGGCTGCATTCGTTGCCCTCTCATAGACACGTTGTGTTTGTTTACGGGTTGTTTTTGTGCTCGCAATCGATCCATCATCTTCTTGTTCAATCTATTGTAAACCAACCAGTCCTTCTGCAGACTCAGCTGCATGATTAATATAGTGAATTGGCTGCAAAACAACCAATACTTGGCCCTTTCACCAAGTTGACAAGTTCGATAGAATGAATGACAACCAACGTTCCAAGCTGACCCCTTCAGCCATGGTCTCAGAAGGTCCAGCTGTGTCTCGCAAGAGCAACTTCGTCACGCTCCCAATCCTGCCTCTCCATCGCCCGCTTGTACTGCACCTTTGCCTGACGCATATTCACCGGCCACTTGTAGTTCATCGCCAGCACCAGCCGATGTGTCTCCTGCTCTTCCTCTCGCCGCAGTCGGTTCGTCTCGTCAGACCAGGTGTGTCGTCTTGGAGGCTCCGACTGGTTGTCGTTCAACATGTCGTACTCTTCTTCTTGATTCACTTCCTCGAAGGTCGCCATCGCCTCTTTCACCAGCTCGAGACTCAGATGCCGCGGTGCACCACTTATTTCTGTGTGTATTTCCCCTTTTTGCAGCTGAACTTCACCTACGCTCTTGGCTTCACGCCCATTAGGGCTTGTAGACGTGCCGAGAACACCAAGATTCTTATCCTCTTGTCCAGTCCATCGTCGTAGCTTGGCAAGACGATATGGGATTAGTTCAAATCGAATCGTCTTGGTCGAAAGCTTGTTCCGAAGTCGGTACAGCTCGGTCTGGCAGTCCTGCACTATGCCGCTGTATAGAGTATAATTGGCCTTGCAGCCATTTGCTCCGTCCTCCATGGTACGGCATTCGCGAAGCCATTCTTCCACTCTGACTTGCGCATCCAACGGTAGGCGGCGTTCTTGGACAAGACTCCGTATATCCCAGGAGTTCGCACCGTCAAACCCATTCTGCAAGGTCTCAAGCTTCTTGTCGAGTCGTGAAATGCTACTATGTCTGCACACTGCAGGAGAGGAGGCTTGCTGGATAGCTTTGCCGTTCACAGCTTTGCCTAGATGGAAAATTGGTCCATCTCCAGCAGGTGGTTGTATTGTTGTTGTAGTCGCCATTGCCAGGTTGCTCTTGGGATAGTCATATGGCTTTTGCTGAAGTTCCTCTGCATTTAGGCATGGCATGTCTATGTCTAGATGTTTACCTCGTCAACTAGCAATCGTTTTTGTGATGCTTTCTCCGAAACTCACAGTGCAATACCGAGCATGACAACCCAACGGCGGGCGCCTTTCCCGCCAAGGTCCTCAAATCAAGTCCTCGGCCATTGTTTCTACAAAGTCAACCAACACACGAAGGCGAAGCGGTGCTGGAAGAAAAACACATCCTAGACAACAAGCAGAAATTGAAATTTGATGGTGACTGCGCAGGTTCCCTATAACCGTCATTATCCGTCGTCATGGTATCGAGAAACAAGAAAACCAAGTATGCCCTGGACCAAAACTGCGCCTGAACGCTCAGCAAACAACCGACAGGAGAGTGTCCTCACAAAAGGCGTCCATCGAGCCGCCTAAGACTTCCTAAAAGCAGTTTACATATCCAGATTCCTGGTATCCTCTCTCATCTCGTCGCTGCCCAGCTCCTTTTCGAGCTCGTCGGTAACGAAGCCCTCATAGTCGTCGAGGTTTCTCTGCACATGGATCTTGAACTTGATGACATCATTGAGCATCCGATCAATCTCCGTATGAAGCTCTTCTCGCAGGGAGTTTGCGCGAAGAACAAGCTGTTCGTACCTGCAGCCCTCATTAGTATTAAGGCAGAGCCATGCACGACACATGTCAACGTACTCGATACTGGTATTCATCTCGCGTTGCTCCATTAGCTGCACTGACTCGGTCAAGGTCGCTCGCATTTTTGCGAGTTCCTTTTCCATCTTTTCAATTTGTGCGTCAGAGGCCATCTTTTGCGTCGTTGTCACCTGTGACATGCCAGTTAGCAGAAGCACCCCAATATTTCTAGCCTCTGTTGACCATACCTCCTTCGTTTTCTCGTACTCCTCCTCCGCGGCACGGACACGGTGCTCCAGGGCCTCAACCTCGTTACGCTTGTCCTCGATCGCCTCCTTGATACCATCGAGTAGGTCATGGTCCTTCATCATCATGTCTATGGCAACGGTCCTCCTCTCAGAGATCTCTTTCCTAAGTGTGAGGAAGCTGCTCTTGACCTGGCCCCGCAGGTCGAGGTTAAGAATGTGGGCAGGCTGGTACCCAGTGACAGGATCGGCAAGGAGACGGTCGCTTGACGAAGCACTGCTGGATCCCTTTAGTTGCGACGCGCTGAAATCTGGGCCGTCGTTGACCGTGATCTGTAGCTCGTAGTCCTTGCCGTTGGCGTTGACCGCCGTCGCAGGTATCAAGCCAATTTGGTACGCCAGGGTGTTATACCTGTCGACCATTCGTTCGAGTTCATCAAGCTTTCTGCTCGCTTCAAGTTCTTTGTCGGCGACCTTTCTCTTGACTTCCTCTAGCCTTTGTGTAGCGGACTCAATGCCCTTCTGTAAGCGTTCTCGTTCAGACGTCATGCGATCGATATCCTGCATGCTGATGCCTAGATCGTCCACAGCCTTTTGCAATCCTCGCCGCTCGTCCTCAACTTCCCGCAGCTCCTCATTGAGTTTTTCAAGCTCCTCTTGTAGAACCTGTATCCGTGCTTCGTATTTGTCTGACCTTTGCATTGCGAGTGCATTGTATTCCTCGAATTTGACCTTGTCTTCTTCCATGATTCTGAAGTGATTGTCGAGTACAGCGGGATCAGGTGTGGACTTCTCGAGGTCTTCGATCTCGCGCAGCAGCCGGCTATTCTCCCCTTCAAGCATCTCAAGTTCAGAGGTGTATTTGGAGTTGGACTGCTCGAAAGCCTGTGCCATCCGTTCTATGTGAGGGGCCAGTGCTCGATTCGCATCCTCATCGTCGGCGTCCTCGTCCATGGCAAGCCAGTCCCTATATGCGCTGCTTAGAAAGTCGAAGATGATATGGTCACCGGTCACGTCAATGCCGCTCTCGAGGCACGCATCGTCGTATCGGTTACAAGCATAGCCATCCAACATCTGCGCCAGTTGCATCATCCAGTGCAGCAGTCCCAAGAAAGTACTCCAGTTCTGACCACCAACAGCTGCGATCTGACTTTTGGTGATGCTTCTTTCGTATGGATATCGAAGCTGCTTTAGGATTGGCGGTACCTCTTGGTCGATATTCTTCTGGAACTTATGGCTCGGATCGATGCGGCGGTACAGCCATTGGAACATGTAGTTGAAATCCTTCTGTGTCGGAGATTTGATGATGTTCTGAGAAAGGGTATGCTTCATCTGCATTTCGAAGTTGTTCTGGGCGAGGTAGTCCAGCAGTTCCTGCCCTATTCTGGCCTGATATGATCGGTCTCTCAACGGGCGAGGGTCTCGGGGCACGCCGGCAGGTTGAGGTGCTTGCTGGAAGAAGCTCTGGTGACTCATTGGTCCAGCGTTGGAAGTTCTTGCACGGTATACACTGCTCCTCCTATCCGCATCTTGCGAAGAACGTCCCGGTGCTGGTGTTGGAGCAAAGGACTTGTCGCGCATCGAAGTTCGCTTCACGGAAGAAAGGCCAAGGTCGGCGAGGTTGGTGCCTGACGAAGAGCGCTGGAACATGGGCTGGCTAGGTCGTGATAGCGCCAGCGAGTGTCTGGAGCCTGACATTGAGCGTCCATGGCTGTTTGAGTATGGCGCACCTGCGCCTGAGGCGGATCGTTTCATGGCGGATGCGGGTTGTGGTAAGCCGGTGTTGTAGTTGATTCCCGCTAAGGTCTGCGCGATGTATCAGCGAATCTAGTTCTAGGAAGGCTGTGTTGTTGCGACACGTTCGTCTCGAGGGTAGAGCTGACCTCTCTTGGTCGGCGCACGCTCCACAGGCCGGTGTCCGACATGGTGGGAGAGCCAGACAGAAGTGATTCAGGGGTCTAGTCGCAGCCCACTGACTGACGAAGAGACTGGGTTATTGAAGTGAATATATCCGTAATCTTTGGCAGTTGCGATTCGTTTCGCGACAGTTGATGGTCAAGGTGTCGCGGTTTGCGCACACGCGGATGGGTTGTCGATGGGTGTGGGTTGGATGACAGGAGCAAATGTTGACGGTGTTGTTGCTCTGGAAGCAAGTAAACAAATCGCGCGGCTCGTCGTTGATTGGCTGCGCACGCCGTCCCCTCTCGAACAACGGGGGCCTAGACCACTATGTATCTCACTGATGCCCAACACGTGACGAGGGGTAGAGTGGACTTCCAGACGGACTTGCTCGGCACTTCGGCTCGTTAGGTAATCACTTTAGACGCTCCCCAGCCGCTGCTGGCGCGAAGCCTCGGTCCAGAGCCGGCCACCCATTACTACGTATCTGTGGCAGGCGATCCATCTGTCGGCTTTTCCTCCATTCTCCAGTTGCATACGCCACTTGCTCTTCATCGCCTTTGTCACAAAGCACCTCCTCCACTGAAGGAGAATGCGACGGGGTTGACAAGGCAACATACTTAAGATGGCGATTCGAGAGGATATCGTCGCTTCGGCGGTACGCAGGCCCTCCCCCCATATTTGGCGACTTGCGGCTAACTTCAACCCAGACGCAGTGTTAGTATACTACAAAGCGGGTGAACATGTGCCAGCAAACTGATCGTCTTGTAGTTTTGCAAGACCCAAGCGTTGCGAGCTCATCGATTGAAAACCGCGTGGCATTTCTGCGGACGAAGAACCTTACCCAAGAAGAGATCGATGCCGCGTTGGCAAGAGTAGGCGCTCAGCCCGTACCGGCTGCTGCGACGGGTTCGATGACAGTCGCTCAGCAACAGCAGCAACAACAACCGTACTATCAGCCCTACCCCCCTCAGTATGCAGCCTGGCAGCCACCGCCCACGTCCCCTAAGAGAGATTGGAGAGATTGGTTTATCATGGCAACTGTTGTCGGCGGTGTCAGCTATGGTGCATATACGTTGGCCAAGGTACGATTTTCGTGTTTGCTGGTCAGTGAAACAGATGTGGCTGACAGTTTGTTAGCGATACGTGTATCCTCTGATTGCGCCACCGACTCCCGAAAGGCTTGAACAAGACAAGAAGTCAATCGAGGAGCAGTTTGACAAGGCTTTCGGCCTTGTCGAACAGCTCGCAAAGGACACAGAGGAACTCAAGGCGGCGGAGCAACAACGCACAGAGAAGCTGGACACGGCTCTGGCGGACCTGGAATCGATTATGCAGGAGCTGAGGTCTGCGAATACGCGTCGGGAGATTGAGACACAACGCGTCAAGGACGACGTACAAATTCTCAAGGACTCGATCCCGAAGGCCATGAACACCCAGAAGGACCTCACCGACTCGAGACTGAAGGAAGTGAACTCGGAGCTTACTAGCCTCAAAACGCTGATTACCCAGCGCATGAACGCGGCGTCATCGGCCAGTACGAACAATCTGCGGACCGGCGGAAACGCTGCGTCTACTTCTTCAGGACTGAACCGCCCTGCTGCAACGGGTAGTGATTCTCAAACGGGCAGCACCGAGGCGGCTGCCAACTCTGATACGCCCAAGACAACTGGCACGCCCACATATAACCGATCCTCGCCTTTCAGTGGCGCCACAGGCGCAAAGGCGTCAATCCCGGCATGGCAGATGGCCATGGCTAACAAGGAAAAGGACTCCGTAGTCTCTTCGACACCACCAAACGAAACTGGGGACGACAGCTCACAACAGCAACCAGCCGGAAGTGTGTAGTACCGTATCGTGCTTTGAGTCAACGTTCTGTACAGTAAACAACATCAATGATTTCATTGCGTTACGGAGTGGGAGAATAACCGATATAATTGAGCTTTGGGCTCGGTTGTATACATGTACTAGATATGAGCATTGAAAGCTAGTACTCTGATAACGGCACGAAGCATCTGAATGACAAATTTGGCGTCTCAGGATTAAGTACAGAAGCCAGTGATGAGCCCTAGAACGCTGCTTCAGGGTCGTCGACATGAATGCGAAGCTGACGCGTTCTTTGACTTGGTTCACACGGGACGGCTGCTATTCGCGTGCTGCTACCTTGATCCTTCTTCTCGTGAGGCAAATCTTCGGCTTACCCTTGGTCGTGAAGATTGGGTGACGATGTCTCAAGTCGGATTGCAATGCGGCTGGTTGCACCCGAAGCAGCCCGCAAGTGCCGACCATGGGCCGGTGCTTTTTGCCAGGGCCATCCGTAGCTTTGGTTATGTCTCTTTTTTTCTTCTCCCCCCGAGCGACGTTTGAGCAGCATCGGCATATGAGCAGGGGGCTACTCAAACGCTGTAGCACGAATCTCTTTGTGCTATCAATTTGGCAATAGGTGCAGCTCTTGTCCTCTACGAGGTACCTGGCTCCCTGCATGGAGTATAGGTATACACTGAGTACTAAATTACTATGTACGGTAGGAAATGCAGTACGTATTGAAGGAGTGGTGTTGCAAACACCTTCGATCCGTGACTGATCCCCGACTCAGCTTTCCGCAACTATTTCCTCTTTCGTCCATCCTTGCGGCCCTGCCCCAGATGATAGACGCACTGTCATGGCCGGTTTCTCTCTGAGCCAGGATCGTAAGTGAAGACAAAACAGCTCAGATACCAGGTCTATCCCCGCACCGCATATACCATCTTGGGTATTCATCGTTACACCATAAGCAACTGACCTCTTGCACTCACTCCACCCATCAACTTCGAGGTGCATGCCCCTCGCAAATATACCTAGTTTACACCGTGTTAAGTAATCAAGAACTGCACATCCTTCTTCCCGGCCACTTCCGGCTTCTAGAATCCTTCACATTACGGTGCTCTTGATTGCTGTTCGCCACTTATATTCCCTATCCGACCCTTCGCTTATGACACAAGCCTCCATCTTCGTTGCTGGCATTGGCCGAACTAATTACTATTAGTGATGGAATTGTCGGGGTGGCCTCTCTCACGACGCGACGACATTGGTATCCTCCGGCAGAAAACGCGTTGGCCTAAACCAAGGAGCTGATGGTGCGATGAGGCGGACTAAATTAACCGTGTGTGTATCCAGCTGACAACCACAAGTGATTCATCGATTAAATTCCGTCGTCAACCGAGGCACATGCCAAGCGACATGTCATCGACTTGTTCACAGTCTACGTCCCTCGTCTCTCATACATCAACCACTCTGGCCTCCTTAGTTCCCTATTTACCTTCCATACTATTTACTTAAATTGTGTCGGTGGTATTCGATCTTATCTGCCGACGTTGCATGCGGACTCTTCTTTCATTTTCCGTCCGGTCTGCAAGCACATTCCCACGACAGCGACTACTTCCAATTCTCTCCAAGCCCTACACTGCAATCTCAGTCGCCCTCTTCGCGAGTCCATCTTGGTACACTGTCTCCAATATCGAGATACGTTCAAGGGGCCGATCTGTGGGGGGGTGGTGTGGCTACCGCATCCGTTGTCAGGGGACCGCAACCTACCCTATGTCCATCCGAGCATCTTGTCGACCCCAAGTCCTTGACCGTTGCTACCTAACAGTGTACGAAATTACAGCCTTCTTATTCCGGGGTAGCGTGTCGTTGATGTGTTTCAATCCTGTAAGGCAATAGCGCCTTCTTGCTTCTTCCTCTCCGTTGAATACCCTTAATTAGGTGCCCTCTGCCGCCCCATTCTTCTGTCGAAATGTCTACCTCCTCGTTCATCTTCCCAAATCCCCTCAACATGCACCCTGCGCAACTCAAATTGTTACTCTCGCTATTGCCCAAGATACCCTTGATAGCGCGGGTGGCCCTTCTTCATATCTTGCACATATCTAAGTCGTCGCAGTATCTTGACCTGCGGAGCGACCTCATTATCTCGGTCCTACGTTCATACCTGCAGCCGAGCAAGCCACGATCCATCACTTCCACCCAGAAGCTCGCCAACCGGGATAGCGGCGTAAAGGGAAGAATATGGGTCTCCACATACGCCAGTTCGGTCCCGGAAACCGATGTTCGTAATGCTCTGGCCGAGGCCATTCAGTCATTGAGGACACCAGATACACCAGAGATTGCTTTACGGTTGCCGGACATTGTGCCCGTTGAGGGTGAATGGACAGGTTACCGTTCTGGTGCCACGAGCGAGGAACGGCAACCCCAGATCGGAGAAAAGGAGAAATACGAAAACCTCCAAAAAGAGGTCACCAGTCCCCTGACGGTCTTATACTTTCATGGTGGAGCATACTACCTCCTTGACCCGTCAAGTCACCGTCCGACTACTAAGAAGATAGCCAAGCTGACTGGCGGACGAGTGTTCTCGGTCCGTTACCGACTTGCCCCGCAAAACCCCTTTCCGGCAGCTCTGCTGGATGCTCTCATCTCCTACTTAACACTTCTATATCCGCCTTCCGACGCTTACAACCAACCGGTTGACCCGAGACATATAGTTATTGCTGGAGACAGGTAAGCCGTACAATGCCGTCGAACCCAAGGTTACAATACTAACCAAAACAAAGTGCCGGAGGCAACTTGAGCCTTGCCTTGCTTCAACTCTTATTGGAACTGCGCCGACAAAACAGAAGAATCCTCTGGCATGGCCAAGAACGAGACATTTTACTACCTGGCGGGCTTGCTCTGAACTCCCCATGGCTTGACATTACACAAAGCTCAGCAAGCTGGAGCGTGAACAAGGACTTTGATTATCTTCCGGCTGCTGAGGTATATGCCAAGCACAGTCCGCCACCATGCGATGCATGGCCCGCGAACCCCCCACGAATGGCTTTGTACGCAGACGATGATCTTCTAGCGCACCCGCTGGTGACACTTGTCATGAGCCGAAACTGGAAAGGCGCGCCGCCTGTATTCATTTGTACTGGATGGGAGTTGCTGGCGGACGAAGATAAGTACATGGCTCGCAAACTGCACGAGGATGGCGTGCCAGTAGTGTTTGAAGAGTACGAGGGCATGCCGCACTGCTTCGCCCTCATCTTGACAACAACACCAAACGCTAGACGTTGCTTCGACGGCTGGACTGGCTTCATGAAGAAGATCGTGACGCATCCGGATACCATCGATTCCAAGGCTATTACAGTCAAGGCCAAGACACTCGAGGAAGTCTCGCTGACTTTTGAGTCTTTGTTGAGCGATGTCAGCGAGGAGGACATACGCCAGAGGGTCCTAAAGAAGACAGAGGCAAGTTTGGCATCTTCTCCAGAATTAGTACCAAAGCTATAGAGACATCAACCTCTTGACGAGCTACGAGCCCCGAGAAAGCACCGATGGTTCTATATTCAACATCATGCGATGTAACTCCTTTGAAGTCATGGGCCAAAGAAAGCATGACGGGATGAACGTATAGTGGGGAGGGCGTTATGGAATAAGACTAGGTGTCGTCAATTCATTTTGCGTTCTAAGCTGGTTCCATTGGACGGCAGACGAATCACCGAAGTCAAGACAAGGCCCCAAATGACAATTGTAGGAGCTTGCGGGTGACAAGCGCAGATACCGAGTCGATTTCCTCGGAATTTGTTTGCTTGTGATAAGCTGGTGAGAAAAGACATGAGCGTGCTGTTCCAGCGGCCACCCATAAAGAAGAACGCGGCACGATATCGAACTACATACGGAGTAGTTGAGTTAGCACCCAGTTTCGGCGACGACTACGCTCGCCCCCAGTGCCTAACAGTCAATGGCTGCAAATTTCCCCGACTGCCAGGTCCGCCACGCAGTGGAACCACCCCGGAAGCTCCCCTCCCCTCTAGGCAGGCAGGCACGTACTAGGTACCTAGGTAGTGTACATACCTAATGCATATCCCCCTTCCCTGTCACAAACCTTGTTTAAGCTACCTAGGTAGGTACGTAAGTACGACGCAGAACGCGACGCTGCGGCGCGCGACGATAGGGAAGAAAAGAAAAAAGGAAAAAAAAAAGGGAAAAAAACCATCTCGTTTCCCTTCACTCACACCGGGTGGTGACATATCGAGATTTCCGGTCGGATTTCACAGTCCACAGGCAAGACCACACCGCCTTTCATTGTATACCCGCACTACCACGTGGATTGTATTTCCCCGGAGACCTGCAACCTACAGAATGGAGCGCCACCAAAAGACTGTGTCCAAGATCGCCGCCGCGGTGCGGTCCTTCTTCGACCGCCGAGAGCCGTACCGCATCTTCCATGGCTCGACCAACAGCACCCGGCCCTTCCGCCGGGACCGTTTCATCGACATCAGCGCCCTCGGTAACGTCCTCGAGGTGGACAAGGCTCGCCGTACCGCCCTTGTTGAGCCCAACGTGCCCATGGACCGCCTCGTCGAGAGCACCCTGCGCCACGGCCTCGTCCCGCCTGTCGTCATGGAGTTTCCCGGCATCACGGCCGGTGGAGGTTATGCCGGCACTGCGGGCGAGTCTTCAAGTTTCAAACACGGCTTCTTTGACGATACCATCAACGAGGTCGAGCTTGTCCTGGCCAATGGCGACGTTGTCCGCGCCAACCGGAGTGAGCGCGCTGACCTCTTTCGCGGCGCCGCCGGTGCCGTCGGCACTCTTGGTGTCACCACCATGATCGAGCTGCAACTCATTGAGGCCAAGAAGTATGTCAAAACGACATACCACCGCACTCATAGCGTTGCCGAGGCCGTCGAGACCGTTCAGGCCGAAACCCTCAACGCCGACAACGACTACGTTGACGGCATCCTCTTCTCAAAGGACCATGGCGTCGTCATCACCGGTAGGCTCACGGACGAGATCCCCGAAGGCAGCAAGCCCCAGACCTTCAGCGGTGCCTGGGACCCCTGGTTCTACATGCACGTCAGGGACCGCACGCTCACCGCCGGCTCGGGTCACGGAGACTCCGCGGCACCTGTTGTCGACTTTGTGCCGCTGGCCGAGTATCTCTTCCGCTACGACCGCGCCGGATTCTGGGTCGGCGCCGCCGCCTTCGACTACTTCAAGTTCGTCCCCTTTACGCGCTTCACTCGCTGGTTCCTCGACGACTTTCTGCATACTCGCATGCTCTACCGTGCTCTGCATGGCAGCGGCGAGTCGGCGCGCTTCGTCGTCCAGGACCTGGCACTGCCATACAAGAACGCTGAGCGTTTCGTCGACTACACGGCCGAAACCTTCAACATCTGGCCTCTGTGGCTGTGCCCGCTGAAGCAGACGGCTCCGCCGACCTTCCACCCCCACACCGGCGAGGTCGA